GGGGGGTACAGCCGCCCCAAGTGGAGGAGATGAAGTACTCTTGTTCACAAGACAGGGCAGAGGGGATCACGGGATTGACCAGCGGATGGGTGTAGCGGCAGCAGGAGTGTGTTCTCTGTACCAAACCATGGTATTGAAGCAAGAGCTGAGTTTTTGGACAAGGCTCTCGGTGTTCTCTCTCAATCCAATTCCCTACTCTCACCTGTGGTCACGAGCTTAGCGTAGTGACTGAAAGAATGGGATTGTGGGGACAGGCAGCAGAAACGAGGTTTCTCTGTGGGGTTGCTGGGCTTACCCTCTCAGCAGTCTGGGAGGAATGTGTATGTGAACATTTGTGTATGTGTTTGTACACACATGTGTGTGTGTGTTTATACACACGTGTGTATGTGTACATTTGTGTATGTGTTTGTGCACACATGTGTATGTGTACATTTGTGTATGTGTTTATACACACGTGTGTATGTGTATATTTGTGTATGTGTTTGTACACACGTGTGTATGTGTACATTTATGTATGTGTTTATACACATGTGTGTATGTGTACATTTGCGGGATTGAGAGGAGCCAGTTGAGGTGGGCTGGTCATCTGAGGTTGCCACAAGGGCGTCTCCCACTGGAGGTGTACCGGGCACGGCCCACTGGAGACCCCGACTAAGGGGATTCTATCTCTAAGCTGGCCTGGGAGTTCCCCCGGAGGAGCTGGAGACTGTTGCTGGGGAAAGGGAGGTCTGGTCCATTTAGACTGCCTGTTACCATTGCGACCATCACCAGTGGTAAGCAGTAGGAAAATGATGATGATGATGAAGATGAACATAAGACAAGCTTCTGCAGGTACATTGGCCTACTGACAAAGCAGTTTAGGTCATCTTAGTGCACCACATTATCTCAACTCCCTGAACCTTACATAAAATATGAATATACAGTACAGTATATTGAACAGATTCATTTAAGACTGATGGTGGGTTTGTGTTAGGGATGTAGTGGCTAATATATTTTACTAACCCATACTAAAATCAATCACGAGAAAAAAAAACAACCCGCTATGGAAGGTAGCAGAAGAAACTAATTTTAAAAACTATAAATAAATTAAAGTGTGAAACTGATGCCAAATTTGTTAGTATATTATTAATGTCACCATGAGAAGTTACAAAAGTCAATTCTCAGTAATAAAGTCACTCTTTAATTATGTAACCATGACTAAAGATTTCACTCTGCAGACGAATAATGGATCCCTCATGCATTCGATTTTCTATGGCTCAGACAGTGGAGAGCACCAAGCCACTAAATCTAATCTGATTTTACCATTTGTGTTTTTCGGTAAAACAGTGTGGTTTGGACATTTGAATCTTGAATCCCACATTCATAAATCCAATGTATTTACTGCTTTTTTATTTATTTCGTAGTTGTCAACATACGTCTTTTCTAACGTGAAGTGCATTTAAAAGTGATATTTTGATAAATTGACCCCAGACTTTTCAGCCTTTACTAATAAACACTTTCTTTTAGGGAGGAGTTAATATGTTAGTTTATTGGGTTAGGTGTTTTCTTTTAATTTTAACCATGTTCTCGAAAATGTATTGCTTCCAAATTTTCTAAATTACCGCTGGTACAACACGAGAGACAATATTCCCATTTTTAGGTATTAGTTTCAAGATCGATATAATTTAACAATAAAAAACAAAATTGAAAGCACGAGCATAGTAATATCATGATCATAGACTTTACATTTCTATTAATTTTTGAAGTACAAATCAGAAAGTGTTTCCCCTACCTTAAATATACGATTAAAATTGTTCAAATAAATATTCATTACAGAAAGCAGCGGAGACAGTTATATTGCAAATAGAAAATATATTTATTTCAAAGAGTACGGGACATTGTGAATTAATAAAGACGTTAACAAATAAGCCAATGTAGTTATTTTGCAAATAAGTAAAGCATTTTAAAAATAGATTCTCATTGACAGTAAACAAGCCGATCCAGCAGGCGCTGCCGGCTTGAACAGCTCTCAGACCCGTGATTGGCTAAAACTCCCGAACAGTCCGGGCCGCGATTGGGTGAAGAGTGAGAATCGACACTCTGATTGGATTAAGTGCAACAGCGGAAGTTCCGAGAACATGTAGATACACAGGTGATGGATGTTCTTCGCCAAATACTGTAGCCCTGGTTAACCGTGTGTGCTGCATGAGTACGCTGGTTATACAGTAACACATCCATTGGTTTCCAATTACTAATCAATCTAAGAGAAGTCGCACTGAGGTCAAAACTGAATAGCAGACAAAGAATGTCAAGGCATCCACAGCGCGTTCACGACTCCCAATAGCATGTCATGATAGGGGTGCGCGCATCACGATCACATCCCGATACCCACTGCGACTGGCGCATCACTGTCATGCCGCCACTTTCATTAAGACCATATATCGCGATATCACCTACCCCCGAGAAAACGCCCACCTCCATGTCGCAACACGGAGTCCACATATCGCGATATGACAAACGTCACCCGCACCAATGTCGCGAGATGGAGCCCTCATATCGCGATATGACATACCCGGCAAAAATGCCCCGCCCCATATCGCGACATGAAGTCTATATATCGCGATATGAAAAAAACCGTCACGCCTATGTCGCGACATGAAGCCCGCATATCGCGATATGACCTACCGGGCAAAAAAATGCCCCGCCCCATGTCGCGACATGAAGTCTATATATCGCGATATGAAAAAACCTGTCACGCCCATGTCGCGACATGAAAGGCCCTATATCGCGATATGGCATGCCCAGCGAAAACGCCCTCCCCCCATGTCGCGACATAGAGTCCATATATTGCGATATGAAAGACCTGTTATGCCCATGTCGCAACATAAAGCCCGAATATCGCGATATGACATACCCACGACAAAATGCCCTGACCCCATGTCGCGACATGGAGTCCATATGTTGCGATAGAACATAGCCATGGTCACGTGATCACCGATAAAAACAAGGCGCTATATATCGGGATTGAAAGCAGCAAACGTAGCACTAACGAATGAGACCGTTTTGGTTTCCCTACGACATTGTAGGGGAGCTCAATGACGTCACGACTCCGGAAATAAAAGGTTTTTATATCTCGTAAACGAACGCAGCAGAAACTCTCCTTTCAACGGCACAAACCGGCACAAACGTAGCATTAACGAATGAGATGGGTTTCATCGTTTGTGCTTTCTGTAGGGGAGGGCAACTCCACGGAGCATTCCTAGACAGCTGGAATACTCCCGTTGTCTGAGCGCAGTATTGTGTGAATTAATCTGTTTCAATAGTTGTTTTATGGCTTGAAAATCAATCATGTGAAATTTGGTTATTCCGTAAATAGATTATGTAAGAGGTTTAACCAGACTTTATTCCGAATTGTTCATTTATTATTACTGCACATAGTTACGTTCAATGGTAGGGTTTCGAATAAAACAGGGATACTACCAAGTAAACAAAATGTTGAGACTGCCCTCTGCTGGGATAATTGGAGAGATGCAGAAGTTCTTTTCTACACAGTCTACTGTGCCAGAAATAATCGGGTACAGAAATCAATCGTAATTTGCTAAAACGATAAAGATAATATTTATAAAAAGTTCAAATATATAAGATATAAGACTGAAAAGTGTGGCAACACGTTTAATCATTTAACCTGTTGCAAACTTCACAATTGTTCATCTTTCGAAATATGCTCTCTATATCTTTAAAATTCTGAGGTTATTTTTATGTCTTGTCTGTTGGGTGTGTTAGAATACATTTTGACTTTCAGAAAACATTAGAAACTTTGCTATAGACCCCCTTTATAATTTATCTTTGGAGTAGATTGAACACCCACTACCTACGTATGTCCTATTGGCATTAACTTCCTCGTTACTGCATGAGTACTGTAATTCAGTTTGTGAAAGTTTAGTTTTTGACATTATGATTCAAAAGTAATACAAAACAGCTCCTTCTTATTCTAGAGTAATAACTGCAGCTCATCTCCAAAAGTGGATGGTATGAATAACCTGTAAGTACTATATAAATACATTACACTTTATTATTATTATATATGCCTCGAGTTTGGTACGTACGGTTTCTGAGTAGAGATGAACACATCTATTTTATCAATAGCGGGTACTAAAATAATGTTCTAATTACTGATAAACTAAAACCATGGTTCAATCTAAATAAATTAAATCTGGTTAAAAAAACGTTAAGAAAAAAATGTTTTGAACCAAAAACCTTTGAACATGAAAACTACTTGCCACTACAAGCAAACAGAAGACAGAAAATTTCAGAAATTATGATTATGATGACGATAAAAATCGTGTTACATGGAATTTTACTTGATAATGCCAACTGTATGACTTCACACTATGTGTGACTAGACTAGAGAAGCGTTCTGGAAACGTTTTTATTAATACAGAATGGGAGCATAACCTTTCTCTGCACAAATAGTTCAGTAACTGAAGGATATTGCTCACTCTACCACCTCCTCTCTCGCCGTTCAAGGGGAGGAAAAATGTCAGTATAATCTCATTATAATCGTGTCAGCGTGTCAGAGTTGAGCAGGTGATTCTTGGCTGTAGCGAGGAAGAAATTATGCACACTTAATTTAAGCTACGTAATAATAATAATTGCTTACACTTATATAGCGCTTTTCTGGACACTCCACTCAAAGCGCTTTACAGGTAATGGGGACTCCCCTCCACCACCACCAATGTGCAGCCTCACCTGGATGATGCGACGGCAGCCATAGTGCGCCAGAACGCTCACCACACATCAGCTATCAGTGGGGAGGAGAGCAGAGTAATGAAGCCAATTCATAGTGGGGGATTATTAGGAGGCCATGATAGATAAGGGCCAATGGAAAATTTGGCCAGGACGCCGGGGTTACACCCCTACTTTTTTCCGAGAGATGCCCTGGGATTTTTAATGACCACAGAGAGTCAGGACCTCGGTTTTATGTCAAACCCGAGGGACGGCGCCTGTTTACAGTATAGTGTCCCCGTCACTATACTGGGGCATTAGGACCCACATGTACCGCACGGTGAGCGTCCCCTGCTGGCCCCACTAACACCTCTTCCAGCAGCAACCTTAGTTTTTCCCATCCAGGTACTGACCTGGCTCACACATGCTTAGCTTCAGTGGGCTGCCAGTTGTGAGTGGCTATAATAATTAAGAAATCATGCCAAAATAAATAAAATAAAAAAAGATTACAAATGGACTCAAGCCTTGTGAGAAAAAAACGGCTTATATTAACAAGAAAAAAACGTTATATTATGTCTCAAATATCGTGAAGGAACCAATCCAGACAACGTATAAAAATGATTTGTTGCTTAGAATAACTCTAAAGGTATGAGTAACTTTAAAGGTACGAGAGAGGAGGACAAGCATATATGCTACCCATATAATGCGTGTCAGTGAAAAAGTTCTCACGCTATTTCACCTAGGTCACTTTTTACTTCTTTCCCTTAAGCTACATAACATTTTCGTAGTTTTAATTAACAGCATATTTAATAAACTATCGCATTTCATATTACAAAGCGAAATGCGATTACTAGTAAAATATCAGTACTTCTGTGTAATATGAAATGCGAGTTTATTTAGCTTTACCGTTCAGCATTAGTCAATCAAGACCCGTCAAATTAGAAGCCAAATCAACTTAATAATTATCGTTGAAGGCTGCATCGCTTTTAAAGAATTAGGCGCATAAATGCAGGTCAATTCAGTGTAAGCGTAGCCAGGACATCGCTTTAGTGATTTTAAGTGATCTTACACTCGATCGCTGGCGGTAAAACATTTCCATTTAATTTTAGTATGCCCCCCTCTTCCTGGACAGTCTCGCTGAGAAACCCCGGTACCCCCCAAAACCTTAGCCCTGTCAAAGGAAGACCGGATAGAAGCATTTTACCCCGACCAAAACGTGAATATTTTCTTATCCGGGGGAGAACACAAGCTCTCTTTCCATTCGGACGCGCGGCCGAGCGGACGTTAATAAATATTTTTCATGTAACCGTGCACGTATATGTTTCGTGCACGAAATAAACGAACAAAGAGAAGGGAAATTGGGAATAAAACTCGTCACCATTTTAAAGGAACATTCTACACTTCTTGAATCAGAAAGAGCGCCTGGCGCGCCGGCGCAAGCGCAGAAGGCCAGCAGTCGGAGTCTCTCTCTCCGCTCACACACACGCAGGGAAAATAAACTGCGTGGGCAGCCGACACCGAGAGGGTGGCAGTGCGCTAGAGTCTGGGAAGGAGTAGCTAACTGTACATGCATCATCAGCGGGGGATCACGTAAGAAAATACAAGGTAAAGACCGTTCCCACGTCGTAGCGGGGCTAGGGACGACGTTTTGCGTGCGACTCAGCCTTCATCATTGTTTATTTGCCATGTGAAGTGTTTGTGATGCCATGCATCAGGAGGGGGAAAAAAATAAAGTTGCCGCATGTGTCTCCTCGAGAGTGATGCTATTCTCACACTTTGGAGAAAACAGAAAGATTTTGTCCCGTGAAGGGCAGGTTTGGGGGGTATGTAAGGAGTGGCTTTCGCGATGGTTTGTTTTGCAGAGCCGAAGCGTTGATGTAATTTTTTCCCGATGATTCGGGGGGGAAGGTTTTTTTTTTTTCCTCCTGTTTTCTGGGAAGTTAGTCCCCTTCTCAGTTCGTGTAGTAATTACGGCAGACTGATGTGTGCAGGCCGGAGAGGCCCCGGCAAAGTCGGCCGAACGATTGACAAGCGGCTCGTCCAATCAGGCGCCTCGAATCCGCTGCTGTCAGAGCCGGCGGCCAGTAAGCTTCTCTGAAATCGGCAAACGGGCGGAGAGTATCGGCAATGTGGGGTTTTACTTTTCCGTCTTTAAAACACCGAAATCCTGAAAATACTTTGTGTTTCTAAGAGCAACGTCCACCTTGTGCTTAGCGAGGACATGCTTTAGCACGTCCCGCTGGCTTCTCTGTGGAGTCGGAGGTGATATTTTTTTCGTGGTTGGATCCACGTTTTTGTGCACGCAGGAAACAAAACCCAGGCGGTGCTTGCAATAAAACGGTTAATCCAGTATCTTGGGTTGATCCATAAAACAGATCTTGCGGCGCCAGCGGAAGTCTCCCGACTTCGCAAACCGGACGGCACCCCGGTTTTAGAGGGGGGTTCACTCGTCCAGGAGCCCGCGGTAGTGGCATAAACAACGGGCGAGAAACGTATTGCGCGCCATTTGCGTCACTCCGCTCCCGACTTGTGCTCGGCAGCTGCAGTGATTGTCCTCCGCAACTTGAAATGCGAGGCTCCGGGTCAGGGCTCGGTGAGCTCGGTGAGTCTTACAACGGCGATTTGCATTAGGGCCGAGGAAACACCTCCGGTTTGCAAGCCTGGGGTCACACGTGTGCTCCTGCTTCACATGGCGCATATTGTTCTTTCCTCGGCAGTAGCTTCCCGAGAGGTTGCATCTTCAAGCCGGCAGAGAAGTGAACGCAGCGTCTTGTGTAGCTTCTTCGAAAACCTGGAGCTGACGCCCAGTGCCCCCTCCTTTTCTGATTCCCAAATAATACTTTAAAATACAAAAAAAAATAGTATCTCAAAGAGTTACTTTTATTCAGGCTTTTCTACACTGAATATATCAAACGTTCTATGTGTAGCAACAAAACTAACTGCAATGCGATTTTTACGTTTATTGGCTATATTACAATATCAGTATAAAAAGCTAATAATTATTAAAACGAGTAGACAGTTGGAAAGTACACGTGACTGGATGCTCAGATTCTTACTTTAATAATACGGGAGCTGTGCCTTTAACACAGCTACATTTGTCAAACCTGTAGTTTTTAATAGTTGGCTGATAAGGTTGGTTGATAAGTTGAAGGGTTGCACTATCGTTGCTATACTATTGAAGTAATTACTAGTTTTCGACAGTGTTTCTCTTTAATGTTACGTAATGAAAAAGATGAGCAGAAGGTTCCAGATGGGATTGCAGGCTGTCTTGGACTCAAACGGTGTTAAAAATAAGGGAACTTCCCGTGTGGGTTGGTTCGTTCTTCAGTCGATTCACTCCCCTGAGCTGAAATGAAAATGCAAAGCTTTCGTTTTTAGGAAGTTGCCTGCCACCTGCTGTTATTAGATAGGAAGCTCCCCCCCTTTTCCTAAAAGGCAAAGGATAGATGCAGGATATTCTTTTAATGTTAATGTTTCTTTATTAGCCCTATACAATTTCTTGCATTAGGAATTCGTCTTTTCGCATACCCCAGCTTTTCTCCATGGAGACACAGACACACAGACAGGGAGAGAAGCTTGGGGTCAGAGCACAGGGTCAGCCATTGTACGGCGCCCCTGGAGCAGTTAGGGTTAAGGGCCTTGCTCAGGGGTGCAGTAGGATTCCTCTGCCGGCTGCGGGATTTGAACCGGCAACCTTCCAGTCACAGGCACAGATCCTTAGCCACAGAGCCACCTCTCCGCCCAATTCATGCCACTGTCGAGGGCGTGTGCATGAGTTTTTTTCAGGTCCAGGACTCCGACTGCTGTTAATTAACAGCAAAGGATGTTTGGAATTGCAGAATCCGATGAAGGATGCAGTGGAATCCATTACTTGTTTATCCGATGCACTTATCCAGTACAGGGTTGTGAGGATGGGGAGGTGAGCTGGAGCCTAGCCCAGCAAGTGAAAGGAGCAAGGCAGGATACACCCTGGGTGGGATGCTTGTCCATCACAGGGCAGATACACATACTCACAACAGGGCCAGTTTTCACAGCGGCCAGTTCACCTACTTGCCGAAATGTAGTGTTTCTTACCTTTCAGCATGGAATGAACTTTCACCTGTTCCTGCATGCTGAATCGGCTCCCTGCTAGAACCCCTTCAAAGTAGAATTGAGCAAAAACCCCTGCTTCCTTCAGCACTGTGTCCCTAATCACCTTTCTGAGATATTGGTTCTTGGTAATTCCTGTTTATAGTGAAGAGTGCCACCTACTGGTCCACAGACAGCTTGCAGTAGCAACCTGGCTTTCCTTGGAGGTCTCTCATCCCAGTACTGACCAAGCCCAGCCTTGCTTAGCTTCCGACATGCAGAACGTCAATCAGTCACCTATAAATTAATCAGGAGACCTTTGAAGGAACTAGTGACGGAAAATAAGCGGCACCACATGAAATTACAGTAATGTAATGAAATAGCGGGTGAGCCCAGGAGAACTTCTGCAGGGTGGTGGAGGAAGAAGGACCGAGACCTGAGCAGAGAAAGACGTCTGCTGCTAGCAGAGCCAAAGAGATGCCACAGGGGGACTGAACAGAGGAGTGGTTATACAGCAGAGCTCTTCAGTCCTCCCCAGCTTCTGGTTCATTGCTTCATTGGTTTAGCCATGCACAGGATGATCAATCAAGCCTTCATATATTTAAGTTACAGTTTCAACCCTTTATTGTAACTCTTCCTTGTTGCCAGTTCGAAGTGTTTGTCATGTGGTGCATTACGAAGGTGTTGCTTAACATTCCCTGAACTTGTCTGTAAACTTATTTTGGGAGCTTTTTTTCCTTCAGTAAAGCATAAGAACAGTTACAAACAAAAGTAAGTGTCATTCAACACAACTAGGCCTTATGGCCGTTAGTATCTAAAAGATTTGTTGTATTCTGAAATAGGCCAGGATATTGGCTTCAAGAACATGGGGGGGTATTTCACACTCATTGTGTACAGAAGCACCTCCTGTTCTCATTTCTGTTTACCTCATTTTCATGCTCTTCAAGCAGTAGAGTTCAGACAGCTGAAAAAGAGGAGTTTTTTAAAATAATTTTAATGTTTAATCAACCAGTATGTGTTAATTATGATCATAACAAGAATCTTGCCTCATGCAGTAATGTAGAGTTTGTCATTGTGAATTGACTCTGAAATGACTTCAGGATATAATCAGGAACACCTCTTTACAGCTGCTTATATCAGTAGAGGCTGGTTCCCTTGAGGCCACAGGCCACGCCCACTGAAAACCTGGAAACACAACATAGTGCCCTCTGAGTGAGTCGAAGGAAAAGGCGACACCTTTGTTTTTTCGTGGGAAGTTTGTATAGATATAATCAGTTGCTGATATCACTGGTATAAAAGCCAGGAAAGCAGAATGTGTGTAAAAATGAGTCAGTGACTTCTGTCCTGATTAAACACTCATATTCTTAGCCCTGTGCTGCTTTCCTGTCTGAGCACAAACAACTCTTTAAGGTTGATAACAGGGTGGAGACTTGCTGCAGCATGCATTCCAGGTGGCTTCTTGTTCTGCAGTGTTCCCACGTGGAAAATCCCAAGATATTTCCTACATAATTAGCCATGTCTTCCTTCCCAATAACTGTGCGTGTGTTTGGGTGAAACCCCCACTCTATCCAAAAGGGTTGAGGATCGTATAGAATTAAGGCATGTATAGTTGTCGTGTTGTAATTTAGACACAATAAAACAACACCGCTACTGAAGACTGTATACTAAACAAATTTATTATGATGACTGTGAATGCTGTAAACTGTATTTGCAATTAGGAGAATAATTTGAAATATTTGCCTAGCCATGTGGGAGGACTGAGCCCGATGTGTGTAGTTATACTGTCTTAGTACTCTATTTCTCATACCACACATAATTTATCTCTATACGCACTATATCTTTATTTTTCTGCATTTTAAATACGAGAAGACATTTATTCACATTCTAATGTCATTTCTGCATTACAGCAGTATACTGTTGAAGTGGTCAAGAGGATTTTGATGTTCAATCTTAAAACTGTTTAAAGTTGTCCTTGAGTGTTATTTTCCTTTAACAGTGCTCTGTTAAAGCTGTTAATATCTGCATCACAGCCACAACAGTGAAAGTGGACTTGAGAGTTGACTCTAAGGGTTTCTTCCTTTAAAGAGTCCCTGCAGACACTGCATCCTGTCATTCCGTAGCTCACACTCATGGGTTTAGGATGTTTTCCTCCTTATCAAAAATATTGCTGTTTGATTATGTCGACTTATTCCAAAGCAATTTCGGCTGGAGTATTTGCTATTGAGATGTAGACATTTTTGCACAGGTGAACCCCTACATTTTAACCCATCACGCAATGAAATAGGCCTAGACCCTCAATCTAAAGGCGCTGAAGTCCTTTCGAAGGGCCTTCGAGATTCGCTAGCTTCGGTTTTCTGCAGCGTCGACAGAAGAGCTTAACGTTCTGTGGTAGACATCTTGGATCCCTGATGCCTCTCAATCTTCGTCACCTTGTTGATCTTTAATTACTGCTTCTTGGCCTGTCGGCTGCCTTCTGCCTGCTTTCTTCCCACTGCATAATTGCAGAGGTGGTGTCACAGTGATGTCTAATTAAAATAGCAGGGGAGACAGGACTCTGCTGTAGGGAGTGAAGAGACAGGTCCAAGGTGTTCAGGCACGCAGTGGGAGTGTGGCAGTTTCACAAACTGAAAGCTGACTTTCACCCTGTGTGGCTGCACACGTTAGTGCTTTGTGTACTCAAGACCTGGTGCTTATGACAGTTCCACAGTGTTTGTATTTTTCCTTTACATCGGTTCAGCAATTTTAACTGTCAAGCATTGTATGTATAGTCAAGGACAATACTTCTCACACTTTTCTCTGATCATTACCCAATTTCCATTGTTTCTGGACAAAAAAATTATAAAATTTACTTTATATGTCATTTTTAATGGTTGCCCAAAATGTCAACGGTTTATTACAGTATATACATTTTCCAGGATGTTTCTTTTGTGCTATCTTCTGGTATGTGTAATGGTTTTTAATCTATTATTTCATGTAAAACATGGTTCTGAAGGATAGTTATCAACAGAATAGTCAAACAGTAGGCTCCTCTTGGCACAGCATGTTACTCCGTACAAGCGGTAAATAACATTAAGTTGCCAGTCATACTTTTACTTTTATATTAAAAATTCCATAGAAAAATATGAGCACAAGCTTAACAGTAATAACTGAGATCATCAACATCCAAAAGGCATTCACAGAAATTCTGTTAATTTTGTATTGTTTTTAAAAACTTAGAATTACATTACTTAGGATTAACAGACAGTGTTAAAGCTGCTAACATAAAAGCTTAAAACGTTGTAAAAAATGAATTTAGCATCTAATTAATTATTGCTCAAATTGACGTGTTAAACGAAGTAACCATGGGTTTAGATAGAATACAAACCAGGAGGGGACTGGGAGGGAGAGGCTGGGATTTGAAATACTCTCTTCAAACAGGGTGGTCTCATCCCAGGTCTTCTGTGTCTGCAGGTTTGTATACTCACTCACCTCTTAATGAGCAGCGCATTATTGGTGAAAGGGCACCAGTGTGCCAGCTTATTGCAGATCTTCAGGTGTTGGTGCTTTACAGAGACCTAGAAAGCTGGCAGGCACAGTGTCCCAGGCCTGGACCAACCTGCTGCTGTTTAATCCCTGCTGTGTTCTCTGTCTGATTCTCCCTTCCCTTGGCTTGCCCTGCAGTTTTGAATGTCAACAGAATGAGCAAGACACCACCAAACAGGAGGGGAATTAAGTTTGAGGTGGGAGCTCAGTTAGAGGCTCGGGACAGCCTGAAGAACTGGTGAGTTTCTCCTTTTCTCCCCCCCCCCCCAAGTTGTTCTGAGATTTATTTCCTTTTTTCCTTTATTTGTTTTAAAAACTTTTTACACGCTAAAACTGGACTGGCGTGCGGTGGATGTCGGTGACCGACTAAAGCGCGTTTTGCCGGCTCGTGCAGGTATGCGGCGAACATCGAGAAGATCGACTACGAGGACGAGAAGGTGCTGATTCACTACAGACAGTGGAGTCACCGCTACGACGAATGGTTTGACTGGGCCAGCCCTTACCTGCGGCCCGTGGAGAGAGTCCAGCTGAGGAAGGAAGGCCTACAGGAGGACGAAGGCGTACCTGTAAGTGTGTCTCCAGAGGAGTCCCTGCGCCTCATCATGGCTGCCTCGCAGCGCCTAGATCCCTGGATTTGAAAGCAAAACCTCTCCTAAACGTCTCTTCTGCTCTGCTGTTAAGAGCAGCCATCTTCAAAAAATGTCTGCATCAGGCCCTGCGTGAAGGGAGAGGGCAGCTGGTGCTGTTTGAGACCTGCTCTCTCTTTTACAAGAACCTGCAAAAGGTCACAGACGTGAGGTAGCTATTTGGCCCATCGTGCTCGTTTCATTCCTAGGAGCGTAGTGATGAAAGAATCTACCCCTGTCTGTGAGAATTTCACAGACTCCGCTCCAAACACTTGAGAGTTCCCTCCAAACTCCCATAATCGTCTGTCTCTTGTTTTCCTGTCTTAAGTGTGCCTACACTTCATTTCCACTTGTGTTCCTGTTCCCTGTGTCTCTGCTGACCTAGTTATTCCGGCCCGAATGAAGCTGGTTACTCTCCTCTGTACTGCCTCTGAATCAGCAGTATCTTTCTTGTAGCGCGGTCACCAAACTTGACACAGTGTTCCCCGTGAGAACTAACCTAACGCATCCTTATAAGGCCCACGGTTTGCCTTGAATTGTGAAATAAACTTGTTTTTATCTTCTGTCCCACGTCTGCAGGGTTTCCGGGTGAACGAAAAGGTTCTGGCAAGTTGGTCTGACTGTCGGTTCTACCCTGCCAAGGTTTTGGCTGTCAATAAAGATGGTAGGTGACTCCTGGGAAGAATTGTGGGTTAGTTGGCACTGATTAACACCAAGAGCTACTGAACACTGTAGGGAGAGGACAGCAGAGCACAGACAGCTTTTTCCTGTTTTACCTTCCTTTAGAAAATGAAGCACATTTCTGAATTCTAACTTCTAACACTGACCCTTCTGAGGTACGAAATGATGTCAAGTTAGTATGAACATTTCTGGGGTGTCGCAAACACCTGTTATATGTGCGTGTATAAGAGAAAATCCCTGCTCCAGGATGGCCACTGGGAAACATTCTCACTTATGAGAACAGCACACAGATGTAGCACAAGGCTGTATGATGTTTGTTGGCTTTAAGGTGCATGTTTTTCCAAACAATTAAGAAAAGAGTGAAGATATTATACTAGACTTAATACGTAAAATTATCTCCTGCTTTTGTCCACGTGCCTGACAGTATATAACAGTTTACGTAACAACACAGAAGTACAAAGACCCTCCTTTTATAACAATAAAGTGCCTTGTGAAAATCCATGTTTGTATTCGTCACGCATTCACTCAATGTGAATTAATTTATTAAGCCTTGGGGAAATATCTGTCTCTTTAGCACAAACTAGTGGCTTCCCTTGGGCAGTACAGTTCCTCTCTATACTGTAGCTCCAAAGGAGCAGTCATGATATTAAATTGATTTGATATTGTTCAGTTGAGTAAGAAAATGGGCAGAGAGTTTATCTGGTTTTATAAACTGAAATTTAATTTCCATGTGTAGGACTCAGTTACATGTTCTTTTTATAAACATTCCTGTTAATTGGACAAAAGTGCTGCAGATGTCAGGTTTTTGTTCTTTGCCAACACACTTTGCTCTGGTGTGATTTATTGTGTTAATTAGAGACTTCACCAGTTATGGATGCATACTGAGGGTGTACTGGGATGAAATGTTAGAAGCACATCCTCCATCAGCAGCTCAAAGTAATCCAATCCTAATGTCTTTCAGCTTCTTACACTGTGAAGTTTTTTGATGGTGTTATTCAGAATGTGAAAGGGATCCATGTCAAGCCATTTCGCAGGGAGGTAAGGAGCTCCACAGTTTTTACCTTTTTCCCCGGAAAGATTTCATAAAAACTGCATAGAATCGGTGACTATACCAATTGAACATTTTTTAAATATATTGCCTTAATGCCAATATGAGAATGTTTTCTCCTAACTTTAATTTTCTCTGACCTCTCAGCTTTGTTGAATTTATTTTCAGCAGTTAAAAGCTGTATAAATATCACCAGCTCACTGTCAGAGAAGTGGCTGCCCTCCTCTGTGTAGAAACCCAAGAAAGGTTAAGAATGTCAGGAAAGTTAGGTTAAGCTTGCTGGGGTGTTTTTTTTTTTCTCCCACCAGAAAAATGGAGGGAAATCCAAAATGGAAGGCAGAAACAAGGACAGGCGCCCTGTGAAAGGAGACCGGAGCACGAGGGCGGTGGCGAACGGGAGAGACCCGAGGGACAGGACCGACGCCGGGGACGCGAAGAGTAAGGAGGCGAGGCGGAGCAGGCCGGAGCCAGAGCAGGAGCCGGAGCAGGAGCGACAGGGGGACCCCGAGGACGAGGGGAAGAGAGCGAGGCGGGAGAGCGGGGACCGCGACCGCATGGCGGACAAGAGCGAGGGGCGGCGGGAGCCCATCGCGGAGGGGGAGCCGGGGGCGGCAGAGCCGATGGAAACGGAGGGCGAAGGCGGGGAGGCAGCAGGGTGGCGACCGCAGGAAGATCAGCAGCGGCAGGCGGCGGTGGAGGCCGGGCCCGGGGGGTCTGGGGGGCAGCCCCAGGATCTCCGCCGGGAGGGGGGCGATGGGGAGCCGGCAGCCCTGAAGGAACATGCAGATAAAGACGTCGGAGGCGCAGCGGGGTCAGCCGCGGACACGCAGCCCTGTGAAGGGGACTCGGGGAGCCCTGTTCGCGGCCGGCGGAAACGAGGCCGGCCGTCCTCAGCAGGTCTGTCTGACGTCTCGGCGCGAGATGGCACATTCAGCCCGTCCAGTTTGTTTTGGAGATTACCCAAAACACGAAACCACTTGGAAATCTTTCTCTTTTTTTAAAGAAAATCTTTTTGGCTGTATTGCTCATAGTACAAGAAATAACTTGGCCTTTCCTACCCCTGAAAGGCTGTTGACTGTAATGCAGAGTGACTTGGTTTGCCTTGGATCTTAAGCATTTTGAGTCCGTTCTTATCTATTAAATGACCTGGGTGTGAGCTTTAGCAGTCGATTTTCACTGGAACAATTGTCCAGTGCCGAGAAGCCTTTTTTAAGGAGGGTTTCAACGAAGCAGTCTTTAGTTGAAGGCTTTTGGTCTCCTTAATAGTCTTCATGAATTATAACAGTCTTAGAAATGTATTATAATGATAGTTTTCCTAAGTATTTCAAAGAGTAGTAAATGTTTCAAAAATAATTTTATTAAATAATGCCATTATTTTCAGGTTTGTTAGCAAGAAAAAAAGGCCGTATATTAATATCCTTTTAATTTTTAATTGTCCCACTATTATTCTTGCTACTGCTGTTTTATTGGTTGGTGTTTTTATTATTATGACTTTGTCACTACATATGTCACAATAATTTTTTAATATTATTATATTTTTTGATGCTTTTTTTTTTTCTTGAAGCTAAATCCCCTGAAAGCCTCCGTGGAGTACTGGAGCTGAGAAAGAGAAAAATCTCTCTGGCACCGAACACACCATCAAAGAGAACTAAGCTCGATACTGTCACAGGTACTGTATGATCTTTAAGAGCATCTGGGTCACAGAAACCAAACCGTTTACAGTTTGGGGCCACTTCAGTCAAGCTCCTGTTTAAATGCTAGGGTATTAATGAAACGTCTCTCTTTGATGAGAGGTCGTATCAGTCATGCTCTAGAATAGAGCTAATTATTAGACAAGAAATTAAAACTGGAAATTGTAATGCTGCCGAGCTTTTCAATTAAAACACTTCACTTTGTGTACTTCACTTTTTTTCACCCTTAGACCAAACAATCTTGTTTTTAAAAAAGATAACAGCGTCTCAGTTTTGTGTGCGTTGGAAGTTAATTGCTGAGCTATCCCCCCATTGGAAGTAGCCTGTATGCGCTGCACTGCTGAAAGGGAAAGGCTAGACTCCCACATCCGAGTGGTTTCGTATCGACGGCTGCAGCTCAATCTGTGTCCTGTGTGGTGTGTCCTGTTGTCTAGCGTCCAGAAAGGTGAGTCAGGACAGCAGCAGGGAGACCAACAGAAGCCGGAGAAGGTCATCCAGATTGTCTGGTGGGGGGGCCAAGCCAGAGCCCCCCCAGACCACCTCAGAAGCCCTTGAACCCAAGCTCACGTCTCAGTCCGAAAGCCAGCTTAAGGAGACCTCAACAGGTTCAGTGTTTGGATTTTGGTTGCTTCAATAGATGACTTAATAAGCAGCCCCCTGCTCTGTCTCTTCTGCGACCCGGCTAAGTGTGCTTCATCTTCTGTGGCTTTGTGTCCATGCAAACATGTTCTTACTGTTCCCTGGCCTTCCTCTCTGTAGACAACTGCAGCCAGTCGGAGCTCAAGCCTGCAACCGATTCCTCGGCTCAAGTGGAGAAACAGGAGTCTTCAAACGTCCTCCCAGAGTCCCCTGTTCTAGTGTCAAGTGATAAGGAGACACGAGAGGCTGGAGAAGGTCTGACCGAGAGCTCCAAAACATCTGGAGAAGGAGCAAGTGTCGTCGGAGAACAAGGTATGGAGTCACGAGGCGGAGGAGAACTTATTATCTTGTCAAGCGGCCTTGTGAATGAAACTGGAATAGCAGTGCTTTTTGATAAAGACTGCCTGCTGAGTGCTGACTTCTGATGTCTTTTACAAGAGACTGTTGAATTTAGAATTTAGCCTCTGCTGATGATACCTTAAGAAAGAGGGGCACTTTGGATGAATAGTAAAAGGTGACTCGGGCCAGCTTTTTCCTTTTTATAATAATTGGGCAGACTCAAAGTGATGGCTCTGTTCAGTAATGGTGTCAAGCAATAAAGCATTAGGAACAGAAACTGCAGGCTTCTGGAATGAAACCTGGGCCTTGATTATTTTTTTTTGTCTTGTGTAGCCCCTGTTGTGAGACGGCAGCCTCACCCACCAAACCCCAACAAGTACAGCAGGGAACCTTGTAAGTATCTCTTTCTCAGTGGGGAACAAGTGCGTCGGACTGGGCCCGGGCCATGAGCGGGAGACCTCTCAATGTCCTCTTGTGTCCTGGGTGTTTGTGTGCAGTGTATACAGCCATAAAGCAGTCCCCTGCGGCCCTGGACCTGGACCACAACACCTTCAAGTGCAAAGTCCCCGACTGCCACAAGTCCTTCCGGAAGGCCAAGCTGCTGCACTACCACATGAAATACTACCACGGAGTGGACAAAAGCGCTGAGAGTGACCAGAGCCCCAAGAGGAGCGTCCAGACGCGCGCCTCGGAGAAACAGGCCGCCCTGGACAGCCCCAAAAGGAGACGGACCATCTCGGCCTCGTTGCGTAAGTCAGCCCTGTTCTGAACTCGGAGGGATTGTAACCTTGCGTGTGAGGACGTCGAGAAGTGACAGCTCACTGAATATATTCCCTCCCTCCTCTTTGAGGCCCAGGGTCAGAGTTCATACCAGCCATGTGGTTGAAGCCACTACCATGGCTTCTCTTAAGATAAGATTCTTGGATCAGTTAGCTACTAACTCTCAGTGAACTCCTCATGTTCATAGACTTCTTCCACTGGTGGGACATTCAAGGCCCAACAGCCATAACAGGTTTAACACTGTCCAGGAGGACATTTTTCCAGGCATAAAAAGATGTTTTCAAGGAGAAAACTGGTGTGTTCGGCATTTAAAAAATATTGAAACTGAAATGGCAGAGATCTAGGTCCATAAAAATCTAGAGGTTGGATTTTACAGGGTTGCATGTGTTTTCCCTGTTTTATAGTTCTAAATGTCCCACACAAATTATGGAGCATTAATAAATCTCTTAATTGATTCTGTAGCTGACTGTCTTTATGCCTGATTGTGAAAAGATTCTGTGTTGTAGGTTTAAATGTTCAGAAGGTATACTGCCAGTATAACGCATGTATCAGTTTGTCTGATAATTGTAGCACACTGTGCATTGTTTTTTTGGGGGGTTTTGTCTCGCAGACCTCCCGTTTCACAGTCCTCACAGGACCCTGCAGTCCCCACGAGGCGATACAAAAGCTGGAAGACTAAACGAGAAGAGGAGGACGTCAGCGCCCCCTGCTGTCAACAGTTTGAATAACCACAGGCCCTCCCTGCGAGAGAAGAGCAAAGAGAACCAGATTGAGAAGTCCAACCGCAAACAGCAGGACAAGGAGAGAGAGAAGAGTGCCATTGAGGCAGGTCGGTACATGCCTGCAGTAGGACACAAGCTGCCTTCAGGATTCTCTTATTCTTTAGTTTTGTTTCCTCTTTTATATTTTACATTGTTTCTCTTTTCTGTATTTGTCAGTTGAATTCAGTTCAAGCCTTATTAACCCTTGAGGGAAATGTATTTTACAGCACAGCCCAATACAACAAGGAAGACAAACATTGCCAACAGAGAAGACTGTACAGTAGTGATACAGGAGATAAGAGAGTTACTTCACATCAACCCCCAGCATCTTGATTTAAAGAGTAAAGAGTAAACCAGTATGCTGTGAAAATGTAGATGTTGAAATATTGTAATTCAATTGAAACTTTTAAACATACCGCGAGTCCTAATGATTTTTGTAATATTGATATACCCAATTTTTATTTTTGGGGGGGTTCTGAAACGTCTAGTGCCCCTTTAAAGGCTGAGGAGAGATTTTAATTTAATGTAATTGCCGTCCTCTCTTGGTACAAGTGAATCACCGTCCTTTCATGCTTTTCAGTTGTGAAAGACAAAGAGAAGGCAAGAGAGAAGAAACACAGAGATTTTCTGAGAATTAAACTGAAGAAAAAGAAGAAAAAGAAAAAGAAGTCAAAATCTGGTAAAGAAAATGCTTACGCACTTCACCTCTTTGAAGATCAGACCTTTAAAAGATGTGATGATTTTACACTGGTGTCTTCCTCTCCCTGTTCGTTTTGGCCTAGAGATTTTAATTTACCAAGGAGGTCTGTTTCCTGAAGTAAAATATCTGATGGAACACAGACACAAAACCTAAGAGACGATTGGGGAAAAACAAAATAAGGCCCCTTCATGTGCTGCTTTGATTGTAATTGTTTCCCAGGCTGGTCTGCTTTCAAACACTGACGACAGACAGGCATTAACACCAGTAAGTCAGTATCTCTGGTCTTGTGTCCCATGTCTACTTGTTGTTATCGTGGTCAGACTTGGGACACGTTGAATCTTCTGCAAGTATGATCACGTCTGTATTCTTCTGTTGGGGGAAAGCAGTTCCTTCCAAAGGAAGAGATTGGTCTGTTTTTAGATTGATGTTCAAAGGTGTTGCATCTGCGCTAGATCTGAGGCGTCAGAAAGGATTAAATGCACCCTCTCCCTAGGTAACATCAGGGTTCAGTGTTTATGTAACCCAAATCTTATGTATGTCGAAAAAAGGCTCTTTTTTAGCCATTGCGTGAATATGTACAGAGATTAACCACTCATGATCCTCGTTTCTCAGCCCAAGCTGTGTGTGCAGGTGAGGAAGGAGGGACAGGAGAGCACACTATTGTCCTGTAATGGTTAGCAGGTTTGTGTGCTGTTCACAGAGGGGGCTAGACAGCAAGGCCATGATGTAGAGAGAGAAAGGAAACTTCTCCTGGTTATCTCCAGGGAGAGAAATGAAATAACAATAAATAAAAAGAAAAGTTTGATCCAATAAAGAATACCTTTAAAAATATATAGTACAGTAAATTTAGTACAAAACGTTATCCCACACTATACTGTCTAGTAATTCAAAATAAAATGAACAGGACATAATAAAATAGATTCCTTGACATCATTGCAAGTGGGTTACCCACAGTTTTCAGTGAAGAAGAGCGAGATAATGTGCCACAGTTACTACTCCTGCATGAAAGCACAGGGAGAGTGCAGTGTGAAACGGAGCCCTAGTGGAGACCGCAGTAGAAGGAACACTTCTAGCTCTTCCTGCATGTGAATTCAGCTTTTCTAGCTAAGAAGAGTTTCTTATGGGACCAGGGGAGGTTCAGACCAGGGGAGGTTCAGCTGAGCCTCGTGTGGCCTAGCGAGAGGATGTGCCGTCATCTGGACCTGTGCTTGGGCCTTACGTTGTCAGGCATGAGCGCCGGCGCTGTGTTTACACTTGTTTCCATCAGTTACATTACTTAACCTGGGTACAGACAAGCTCCACAGCAATAAAAGAGCTACTTAACATGCAAGTCATGCATCAGTCCTCAGCTGGCTGGGTTTTGTTTTGGTGCCTCGTAGTGTTTATGCTTGTAGGCTTGTGGTTAGGCTCGTAGTACTGACCACTATAAACGGTTAAAGGCATACAAGATGATACATTTTTGCTGCAGTCTTAAGAAGGATCAAATGTTTTTTTTTTGAGAAATAATCTTAAGAGAATCATTAGAATGTAATAGTGAGAGGGTTAAGTTATATGAATCCTCTAATAGTAATGACATGTCTGTTCTTGACAATCCTTGGTCGTCTGGTTAAAACCGCAATATAGTTAAACCAAGTATTGATAAAAGATGTTTTGTGCACTGTCTGATAAGTGATTCTCCTGATTTGTGTCCTAAGACATGCAAAATCAGCAGTTTGGTTTTTGCATGGATCTAATATTCTTATGTTCAGTTCTCAATGTTTCCAGAGAATTTCATTTTGGTAGCCGTTCTGTCTAGGCTAGCTAGATCTCGTTTGAAACTATTTTTTTTCCGTCTGTGGCGTGGCTTGCATTTAATGACGTTCATGTTCTGCACTTTGAACTGTTTACTTATTGTGCATCTGCTTTCCCTTTGACAGAGTATACGGGTAGTGAAGAAAATATTGACATCTCTAGGGATTTCACGTCCAAGAAACTATTTGTTCAATCCCAATTGAATTTGTCTCACAAATTCCCCCTTTCACACAAACACAAGTTGTTACACAACTCCAGCCCGGGACACAACACAGAAAAGATAAAAGTGGATGGTGGGTATCATAACTTTTGTTTTGTTTTTATTTTGGTAGTAATTAGTCATTACATAAGGGACCCCACCCTAGCCTTTGTCCCTCAAAAAAAGAGAACAGAGTTAGTGATAGTCATTAAGTGCCAGAGAGCTGTTAGTATACAAAATAAGCAAGTTGGTCCAAACATCCACCATCTTGTCCAGTCACTATGCCATACAATGGACTGTGATATCAATCACATGTCTGGTGCATCACATGTCTGGTACCAGCAAGTCTTTCATACAACACATGTGTTACTGCCTAAGTGTTGCCTCATAGAAGAGCAGAACTTGGCAGATAACAAAGAATGGTTCATAGAGCCTCAACTGAATATGAGAGCAGCATTATTCAGTGGCACATGCTCAGAAATCTGAGGTGATACACTTTATTTCTGTTCCCTTTTTTTGGTCGCCATATTGTGCAGCACTTTTTGGACTAAATATAGTCTGCCTGTGTGCGTAGCTGCCAGGGTGTAATAATGGGTTTGTTTGCGGAATAATTAGGTGGATCGTCTTCAAGGGGGGGTAAACTGAATTATTTCTGTTTGTACAACGGTCCTGACATTTCCAGGGCCTTTTTAACTGCATTCCTCTTCCTTAGCTCAGTGCAAGGAGAAGGAGACGTTTCACATAAGTAGTTTTGGTCCGCCGTGTGTTGTCTCGGGCTCCGCGTTCAAGTCGCTTTTCGGCGTACCCTTGTCTTTTCACCCATCGCAGACGAGGACACGCTGAGCGACTGCTCCACGGACAGCCTGCTGTGGAGCGAGGACGAGGGCAGCCAGGATGTGGACGTCATCACCAACCCCGAGGAGGAGGGTGGGCTGGCGGCACAGCGCGAGTTTGAGATCGTGCGCTGCGTCTGCGAGGCCCAGGAGGAGAACGACTTCATGATCCAGGTCGCTCGCCACTCGCCTGCTGTCGGCCGACTTTCAGTCTGTTTTAGTTATCCGAATATTTTCCTTTGGAAGGTAGAGATTTTGCATAACTGCAGTTTGCACTGGATTCTAATGAACTCTTATTCTGACTGAGTTTTTTTTTTTATTTGTGACCGGTGTTTGGCTGGTTTTATCCTTCTTAACGGTGTTAAGTGCAGTTGTGCACTTTGTTAATTGTTTTGTAGTTCCTGGTTAATTCTATCATCATGGCCATTTGGGGATGCTTTAGGGCTACACGAATGGGCTTCTCTGCCCTGAGGGTTGTCAAGTTTCTTGATACCGATAGTGAACACCAGTTCACCAAACCAAATCAGCTACTAACTGCTAAAAATAATTTATGTTTTTTTGTTCTCTGTTTGCATTTGTAACAAAATAGTATTTACTTTATGCTTTTGATTCAAGAAAATGACTTTTTATAGTCAAACTTTTATGTATTTCAACACTTTACCTTAGTGACTTAGTAAGTGGGACAATAGCACCTCACAAGTAGCATGCCGATATTTTGGTGTCTCCCTCTGATGTCACAGAAACTTCAGATAGTCCTTGTGAATTGTTTCCAGGGCTTCAAAAGGAGTAATATTTTTTTTTTACTTCACTAGGGAGCTTCTCTTTCTCCTCTTTTTCGATTCAGTCTGTAGCGCATATGTGACTTAAAAGATAACAGTGATTTTTAATGGTTGTCTTCCTTTCTTGATCGGTGTCACAGTGTGAAGAGTGCTTTTGTTGGCAACATGGGATTTGCATGGGGCTGCTGGAGGACAGCGTTCCAGAAAAGTACACCTGTTACATATGCCGAGACCCCCCAGGTAAGTCCGAGAGTGTTTCTGTATCATTCTAAACTGGGATGAAGATTAAATGAGAATAGTGGGTGGATGAGTTGGAGGGGATGACATGTGCTTCCTCGTTCTCTTCATGAGGGTTCAGGGGGTCATCGTGAACCGGAATGTAAAGACGCAATCATTAAAAAATGTCCTAAATAAAACCGGAAGTAATATTTGTCGATCCTACATTTTGAGCATCTCTAAACTATCAAATAAAAGATCTTAATATTACGTTCAAGGCTATATCATGATAGGTCTGGATTGTTTCTGGAAAGGCTGGAAATGTTTTGTAAAACGCTGTGGATTGCCGCTGAGTGTCTGTGGTTTCACCAGGATGTTGCTCTTCATAGCCAGCAACCATATCGCCACTGGAAACCCACTAAAGCTCAGCAGGTGTGAGCCTGGTCAGTACCTGGATGGTAGACCTCCTGGGAAAAACTAAGGATACTGATGGAAGAGGTGCTAGTGGGGCCAGCAGAGGGAGCTCATCCTGCGGTCTGTGTGGGTCCTAATGCCCTAGTATAGTGATGGGGACACTATACTGTAAAAAAAAAAAGGCGCCGTCCTACGGATGAGAGACATAAAACCGAGGCCCTGACTCTGTGCTCATTAAAAATCCCAGGGCGTTTCTTGAAAAGAGTAGGGGTGTAACCCCGGTGTCCTGGACAAATTTCCCATTGGCCCTTACCAATCATGGCCTCATTATAATCCCTATCTATATGTTGGCTTCATCAATCTGTTCTCCTCTCCACTAATAGCTGATGTGTGGTGAGCGTTCTGGTGCACTATGGCTGCCGTCGCATCATCCAGGTGGATGTAAGCAATTAATATTATTATTCATGCAGTCTCTCTTGTGGCTCCAGGGCAGAGGCAGAGTTTGAAGTACTGGTATGACAAAGACTGGCTGAGCACTGGCCACATGTATGGCCTGCCATTCCTGGAGGAAAACTATTCTCACCAGAACGCCAAGAAGATATCGGCCACACATCAGCTGCTAGGAGACGTGCACCGGGTGATCGAGGTGCTCAACGGCTTGCAGCTGAAGATGAGCATCCTGCAGTGAGTCCCTCACGTCCTGCACCAGCTCGCCGCTGTACTGATATACTATGTTAGGCGATTAAAAAGACCTCAATTGGTTCCCAGCAAGGGGAGGTCCAGGTGGCATTGTTGCCCACGGATCATATACTGTAAATATCACTATAGAGGAATCACATATTGTATTTGAAACACCTTTTAAAGCTTTTGTTTTTTTTAGGCCTAATACTGATAAATTGCGTTTTATAAGGGTTGATCTTACCCTTTGGCTTGGTCATGGAGTGTGCTGCTGTGCAGTAAGTCTTAAACGCGTCTTACTCAAGGTCCCAAGGTCCCGCGGGTGTGTGTTTTATAGCCCTGCGATGCTGGCCTTGGAGTAGCCACCCTGGCTGCGTCTGAAATGGGAACTTGCAGTCCTAGAATCCGTGCGTGCCCTCACCACGAGAGACGCCGTCTTCCCTGTCCCGACAGAAGCCAGGCTCACCCGGACCTGAAGCTGTGGTGCCAGCCCTGGAAGCAGCTGGAGTCGCGGGAGAGGCCCTGGAGGAGGGCGGCCGTGCCCGCGCCGACACCGGCGGCGGGGGCGCCGGACGAAGGGGAGGAGCGGGAGAGGAGCCCGGAGAGGCCGTGCCGCGTGCCGTCCTTCCAGGAGTCCTACATCACCAGCGAGCACTGCTACCAGAAGCCTCGCACCTACTACCCGGCCGTGGAGCAGCGGCTGGTGGTGGAGACGCGGGGCGCCGAGCTGGGGGACAGCCTGCTGGCCCTGGAGCAGCGCTACGGCAGGAGCCCGGACACAGAGCGGGGGAAGGCTCTGGGCCAGCTGCAGCAGGAGAAGACCGCTCAGAGCAAGGTGGGGCCCCGGGCTTTCCCTTTGTGCAGTAGGCCATGACAGAAGTACGTCGATGGCTTCTCTTTTTTTTTTTTGCAACCAAAGGTGCACTTAAAAGAGCCAAAGTATTTCACTTGAATGTCGGGGTGCGTGTCTTCTGTGTCAGCTTGGCCCACAACAAAAGCGCTTTATTCACTTGAACTGCTGCCATCGCACGCAGCTGCTGCCTGTTCAAGGGCTTTGCCAGTGTTAACCCGCATGGTGGCCGTGCCTTCGCAAACCTGTCTTTTTTTTTTCCGGGGTGTAATTTTCTGCTATGTGTGTGTGTGTGCGTTGTTCGTCCCGTCCGTCTTCGTGCAGGAAGCCGACGTGTCCAGGAAGAGCTGCCCGGAGAAAGGAAGTGAAGCGAAGGCAGGGGAAGAGGGGGCTGGGGGCGCGGACGGTTTCCAGCAGCAGTGGCAGATCAACCTGCTGGACCACATCGAGGCCGTGCAGGATGAGGTCACGCATAGGATGGACTTCATCGAGAGGGAGCTCGATGGTAATCTTCACCGTTGCTCAACTGTTTCTAGAAGAGCCTGTGTTGCAATTTTGGCTGGTTTTTTTTTTTGTGAACCAGTGGGAGGTTCAGTCCATGTTGGTTTGACCTGTGAAAGATCAGACCTGATAGCACCACCCTCATACTGCACAGCAGTTTCCTTCCTCATAAACCCAAGAATGCATGGCTGTGCTATTCCATTCATCTCTGCACTTCTGAGAGCTGTGACACTGTTTGCTTGCCCTCCTTAATCAACAGGGAAGTGTCAGTATACAGAGACTACAAGAAAGTGGCCATCATTTTATTTTATCATAGTTGCAGGCTTGGTCTAGCAAGTGTACTGCTGGAGCAGTAAACACAAGGAGCCTTTTTTCACCTTGCCCGTGTCACCTGCTAGTGGATAGTTATTAAATGTAGAATTGGCAATTATTTATTGTTATCCTCCCACCGAGTTTGGAACTGGCAGCTGTGTGATTTCATGTCTCAGCTGCAAAACCTGGAGTGACTCAAAGGTGAGAACGAGGATGTGTAGTCGATTCTCCTCCAAGCGGCCCTCCTCCAAGCCACTCTTGTTTTAACGCTTCACAAGAAACGCAGCCCTGTACCGGAGGATAGGTGCCAAATGGAGGAGCAGCACATCTATCGCCAGCTGTACTGTATGCCTGCTAGTACCCAGGAAGCTGCAGTTGTCGCTGACAGCTGACACACTGACAGCAAGTTGGCACAGACTGACTAATCCCAGAATTCCCTTGGTGGTGCATAGCCGACTGTGCACCATCGCTTGGGGAATGCTGGTCCCAGTCCGCTAGTGGCACAACCCTGGTTCGAACCTGTGAAACCTGAATCATAGAGTTCAGCATCGATCATAATCAGCACTTTTACTAGATGGGCCACTCGAGAAAGGAGCCCAGTAGAGACATTGGGACAGCCCAGCGACCTGTTATCTCTTGCAGAAATTACCATGCAACATAAAATGTCCCTTTCTGAAAACCTTGTACAAGCTGCCTAGGCTCAACAAGGTAGAGCGTCACGCCTATCCTTGCGTACATGCATGAGTGTGCAGGAACCTACATGATGAGTACTGTGATGTGTATATGACGAGAGGGCTAAAGCATGGTGAAAATTTAATTTCTTTCCCTCTCTTTGTCTCTAGTCCTGGAGAGCTGGCTGGACTACACTGGAGAGCTGGAACCCCCCGAGCCTCTGGCACGACTGCCCCAGCTGAAGCACAGGATCAAACAGCTGCTGATGGAGCTGGGGAAGGTGCAGCAGATCGCCCTCTGCTGCTCCACATGAGGAGCTGCGCCCAGCCCCATCCCCCCCTCCACAATCAAACCAGCAGCAGCCCCTGAACAGTACCACTGAGAACAGGAAGGACGCCAGGACTGAGCATGCTGGGAGATGAGCCTAGGAACAGTTTCCCAGTGAACCCACTCTCATTCCCAGCGGCAGTGCGGACAGAATTGGTGAAAGGGAAGAGCGAATTGTTTCTGCTTTAGAAATGATGAACAATAGATACAGCCATGACACCAATGACCGTAGAGGAGAACGAGATTTAATAATAGAGCGAAAAAAATAAATAAATAACCTCTGTATTAGATCCTGCGGTTTCCAGGTAACCATGTTTTCAACAGTGCAATTGTAGTTTTTGTTACAAGTTGTGAAGGGGTTCAGCATGCCTCCTGTTCTAAAACAAACAGTCTTTAGGTATAAAAGAGGTATGCCTTTTTTTTTTTAAAACCGTACGCTTGTTATAAATGGCACTGGAGTTTGGCGGCTTCTAGTATCCATTGTGAAGCTGTGAGAGAACGTGCTAGTGGTGAAGCACCATGCAGAAAATAAGATTGTAATTAAGATATCCATTTTCTTTAGGTATTTTTAAATAAGAAACCAAGTGTAAAAGAAGGCCAATTTTTCTTAACAATTTGTATAAAACAGTGCTTTGAAAATGAATAATGGGTTAATCAAAGGCATGAGGTGAGAATTGCAAATGTAATTTATGTAATTCTTTTGTTAACATATTTGAGGGGGAATTGTACGTTTTTGAATAAATGAGGGACATACAGTAGGGTGTGTCTGTAGAACCGCAGAATTGGAATGTCATGACAGGGCCATAGGAGTGTCTCTGTGCAGCACAGTAGCACACACCACACACAGTGCATACGTGAAGCCCACATGCCTTCCTGCGTTTCAGAAAAATACTGAAGTTAATCTGTTGCAGCGGGTGTCCGGGTGAGCTGAGGTCTGTTTTTACTGGACAACTTTTGGAGCATTTTTTCCCACCTTTTCCACCCTCTCCAAACAAAGCCCTAAACTGTGTTTAAGTGGAGGACAGTTTCTCTTTGTACAGTTCCTGTATTGTCTGTTAATTCCTTGGCATATTCATGCTTTTTTTGGAGAAATTAGGAGCATATTCCGCCTTGGAGCAAACATCTTAGAAGAGTCTCGGCCATTTATAGAAAACCCCTTGAATGCAGTCCTTAGACTGCCATGTTAAAATCCATTTTATTGGGTTTTTAAAAATAAATCTTTTGTTTTTGGCTGTGATTTTCTGTCCTAGCTCTTAATGTACAGTATTCAAAAGAATGTTTTTTTTTTTGTGTTTCAGTTTCTAGGCATTTGTTACTCTGCTCATTCTTATTTATTATTGATGAAAACATAAATTATTTTTGCTGTTTTTTTCTGGCGCTCTTCTGTTTTTTTCTGGTCTCTTACTGCAGTCGCTATGCATTTTATTATAAACTAATGATGAGAATCTGGCGGCAGACAGGTCGCAGAATGGAAAGAATGGAAAAAGAAAGCATTTCCCTCTGTTAGGGTTTCTGTTGCCTCCTTCCGTATTCTCCTTAACACAGACGTTTTCTTAAGAAGCAGACTAAGCTAACCCCATATCGAAGTTCTGATCAGTCCAGCTTTTCCTACGATTTCTCCGTGCATTCTCTGAGTTTGTGCACCCTCAATGCCTTTCTCATTTTTTGTAACTTGTGCTCTTAATCCTGCTTTTTTGTTCTTGGTTGTTTATTTCACGTCTGTGCTCATGAGGGAAAAGAGGTATTTATCCCCCCCCCCCCACCCTTGCTTTATAATCAGATCCCTAGTAAGTTTGCTTTCTTGCAACCAGTCTGTTTTTTATACGTCTTATATGAGTCCAAGTTAGAGTTGTCTTTTCTGTTGTAGATTATTATAGCCAGTAGTGGTTCCCCTGCCTTCAACGGTTCTTCTATCTCTCCGAATGTATTGTAAACAGGGTTTATTTTTTATCTGGTATTTTCACATAACTGCTTCTCCAAAGGGTAACAGTGGTGTGTCCTGGATGGCTAAGACAAGAAAGCGAAAGTTCCTAAATGTGGCGGATTCCCTTGCCCCTGGCCACTTTTGCTGCACTGAACCCCTCTTTTCCCTTCTGAGAGATTGCGTGTGTCTGTTCATCTCCCATCAGAGCTGGGGGTGGGAGACCGTATGGGAAGGTCCGCAGATTCCTGGACGCGCTGTTACTCAGCTTAGAGTCACTACTGACAGCGGTAACGTGTCAATGAATGTGTTGCGTTCTGGACAAAAGGAAATAAACCATCTTTTTCTTAAAGCCTATTTTTGTGTGTGTTAAGTGAAAAGGCAGTGAAAAACAGGCTTGTCAAAACGTTTTTAGAATATCCTGCGTCTTTGTTTTACTACGTTGACTCCACAAGGTTGGTAGGGACAGGAAACATTTTTTACTTTTGCATCAGTGTTTTGGGAAAAAAAACACAATAGGTATGGTGGCTTTCTGGTGACTAAAGGGTCAAAATATATATTTAGAATACAGAGTTTGGATTGTAAAAAAGCTAATTTGCCGATACGGGCTCAAAACCCCTCTTTTCTGGTGTCGAAAATAAATGTAGGAAGAAGTGTGAAGACAAAGTGTGTGCAAATAACCATTGTTGTTTGCACCTCACTCCACCTCCAAGCGTTTCAGTACTTGCTTGTATGTTTTGAATTCATAAAGTGCTATTCTCTGCATAGAGAGGCGGAAGTCACCAGCATTTGTTCTGCCAGTGATGTCTGCTACAGTAATCTGTCATCGGCTTCCTGTTTTTGAGAGCTTTGATACCTGTGGTGGCTGGGGATGCAGGAAATAGGCTCTTTTTTTTATTCTGCAACAGGACTTTGTTTTGGCTCCAGAGTAGATGTTATGGTATGTTTTGCGAGTAATCAACAGGAGCTGCCTAATTAACGAAGCAAAACTGAAATGAATGCAAAACTTCCATTTTATTACGGTTTGGAAAACGGGGAAGAGATTGAAAAAAAAGTGATGAGCCTTTATTTTTGTTAGCTACACCTACTGAAGCGCCTCTATGTAATGCATGCAAATGCTCATTTAAACTGTAATGACGCTATCATTACCTGTTGGGGAAAAAAAGAAGAAAGAAAACCTGAAGAAGGCTCCACAGCCAAAATGTTGTGCTTTCTTTCTTCTTTTTTTCAGCATGGAATAAACCTATTTCTTGTTCCTTTGCAGCCTACGCATGCTGACGCAGCTCCCCACCTGAACTATCCTTACCTGTGTTTACATGTAGGATTTGTTGATGTATTTTTTGTGGTTGGTAAGGGTAGTACTGTATATTGTTGGATTTTGGGAAGTTTAACTTTACTCTTTTCATGGTTCTACAATATATAGTTTTGTTTTCTGTGCATTTGATCTTATTTCACTTCTAAGTGTCCTAGATTATAATCCATCCTGATTAAAGGGCTTTTGACATAAACATGGGGCTTGTTCCTCTTATGTAGCTCCTTGATCATTAGACCTTATAGCCACAGGGAGCAGTATAGCTTGTCTTCCTTCTATAGTCCCCAGGTAAGTTTCATTCTGGTGTCTTAATAAATTAAATCCCTTGTTTAATCAGATCAGTTAGTTAAGAAAAAATTCTCATTGACAAAGACGAGCAGAAGAGTGCCCAGTTCTCTAGTTATATGGCTAGAGAACTAGGAGTTAAGTGCTTAGTTCAGGGGTACAGCAACAACATCCTGTCTGTGATTGGAACCTGTGACCCTGATCCAGAATGTGAAGTCTCAAACATGGCTACACACGTCTGCCATCGACTGTGTCACCTTAATTTTAACTGTGTGTACACATACACAGACCTATTAATTCAATCATCTGTTTTGTACTAGCTACACATTACATATGCTGTGAGGCATGAAAAGGAACAACACCAGTATTACATCCAGTAGCATTTTTAATGTCTCTCAGTATACAAATGTGCTCGTGTTTGTGTCTGTATTTATGTATTTTGTACACTATGCATTGGACACATTAAAGAGAAGATCACTAAAGAAATACTTAACCAGGTCCCCCAGGAGACAAATCCCAAAAGAACACCACTTGGTAAGTTGGAATCAGTCAATTAGAAGAGCACATTGGGCGGAATTAACATAAATATAAGCGGGAGATTAAATAACTGTTGTGATGGCATGGCTAGGGTCAACATTCTGTCATTAATGCTGCTTTGCTATTTTCAGTAGTTGATTCCGCAGTTCTGTTTCAAAAGCCTGAACAATCCATGCCTTTGTTGCCTTCCCTTCACTTTTGCCTGGCTTGGTGTTGGCAGAAATGGCTTGTTCTTTGTTCTTACTGTTATTACTACCGTTAACTGTTCTGTATTCTTTACTGTTGTTAAAGAAGGGTGATCGTGCTGAGTGGTGAAGAGTCAGTCTGTTAACATTCCCGGGTAGTTTTGTGAGGTGTTGGAGAAGCGCTTGCATTTGACCTTAGTGAAGGTCCCTTAATTGTATAAATTCATTTCTAATGCCATTGGGAAAACCGTAGTTTTTTGTTGGATGTACATTAGCATTGTTTTATCTCTGTTCTTTCATTCCTCAGATGTTGTATTGTTTTTTTGTTGCTGCTGAAAATCTCAAATTTAGACTAAATGCTTTAGTCCATAGGGAGTGTGGTTTCACATGTTCATAGATCATTTAGTCAGACTTCATAAACGTAGAATTTAGTAGTCGTCTTTGGTCTTTTGAGTTCTTTTTATTTTTATTTTCCACTTTCTTGAAAATGCTTCATCTTACTCAAATCCATTTATATAATAAGAATACTTTCATATACATTCCGTCTAATAGCTGCTAGAGTTGAAATCATTTTTAAGCTGTCTTTTTATCAATTATTTATCATTGATATTGATCACAGTCTAAAATATTTTTACACAGTAAACAGTTTACATAGTAAAACTATTTTTCTGGCTTTTTTTTGTTGTCTGTTATACGTTTAAAAAAAGTGGCTGCCTATCTGAAGATATGGGAGCAAACAGTTTGCACTTTTACTACGCTATATTCGTGTTGGAAACACGTATACTTACTAGATTATTTAATTGTTATTAATGGTGCTTCATGATTTAATTGTCATTAATGGTGCTAAAGTAATTTGTTAATTAGTTTCCCACTAAGTTTGTTGTCGGTTCCAATTTGTGGCAAAATTTGTGTCCAAGTTGTGTTGATTCAAGATTAGAGTTGGGTATAATAATGCCGATTTGCAGTAACTGTTGACTTCTCTCTCAATTGTCTTCATAAAACGCCCACAAAGGTGTAAGATATTTCCTTTTTAAATGCCAAAAGTGAATTTGCATCATTGGAGAACAATAAGATATTCAAATTGAAATTTCTAAAAATAATGAGGTTGATTCTTCAGCGGGACGCGACGTACTGAACGCCACATTTTTCTCATGTGTCAGACTCGCATCAGAATGAAATTAAACAATCGGCCATTTGCACAAAAGCAAACACTATCCTGTCTGAATTCATGGCTGCTGTCAGGGCTGTCCTCTGTGCTAAAATAATGCCGACGTACGTGTTTTATTTTCATCATGTGCAGATGCACAATGTTGCGTGGGTAGTGCAATATAAACGCACAGTAGCCGAAGCGGGCTGCGGACTGGTGGGGTCGTGCACATTTAACCTTCATTCACGTATGTTTTTGCCACGCTGCTTCTACAGAAGTAGAAAGTGTGTGCGCAATGCTGAGGTGACGGTGGACTACGCACACTGCTGCTATGGCAACTGAATATAACCCACAGGCAGGTGTGCAAAGAGTTGTGAAGATTCTAAGAAATGGGATCCAGCGAAATGGAGCTGTGCATCCTACGCTTCGCCCGCAGATTTCATTCCTTCATTGTCTACCTCGTTCCGACCTCCCTGTACTTCTTAAAAGGCACAAATGGAAATTAGGTCACTGCTTAGAAATCTCAACAGTCTGACAGGCCATGTTGTTTAAGCGTGCAACAGAACTTTGCTTTAAAGGAGGACAGCTCTTCAGTAAGACACCACTTGTAGGTCAACAGGCCACCTTTTCAAATTGCCCGTGGTTGAGATGCATGTTAGTCGTGTTCTATTTTTTTTAGCTAAGAACTGAAACCGCTGGTTTGTTTATACAGTGCAATGGCGTGCGATTACATCACACGTGGAGCACAAGCTCATAGGCATCGCAGGAATGGAGTGAGATTTAGTATTGCGTTAATTTAGGATGAGTACTCCCAACACTACAGATTGATTATTGCCTCAAACTACATCCACGTTAAGATCCCTTCGCTGCTCATGTGTCACATTCCGAATTGATTTTGAAGTCATCATAACTTTTATAGTGCCTAATAAACTAAGGTCTTATTAAGGAGTTGCTTAGTCCCTCCGTTGCCATCAACATGTTGATGTGTTGGTGATTCCCAAGGAACAAATGGGACTGGAGCCTTCATTATCTGTGCTCCTTTCCTCTATCGTATCTCTCCCAGTCAGCACGAGAAATACACAACCCATACGTTCTTTTAAGCCTAAAACCGGACAGCGGCCCTTCTGATCCAGGTGTCTGATTATAACTGGTGTGCATCTGTGTTTGCCAAATCAGACCTATTTGAATGCTTCAAAAGCACTTGGCATGGAACTGTATCATCCAAGAACTGCAAGACCTTAAAGCTACTTGAAAATTAAGAGCCTAGTAATGTAGTCATGTAAGATAAACCGGCGCTGCTTTAACTGTGGCTCTGGAGCCTGGGATAGTGTGGATGTTAAGCATACTGTGACTGTAGTGATAAATATCATGGGTATAAAGACTACAATCTTATACAATATGTGTTAATTATTATGTTCGTTTAGTGCCGTGTTTAGTACCTTGTCCAGGTGTTCCAGATCAGTCTGGTGTGTGATCCTACAGTGCACACTTGTTTCTGTTACCCATTCTTTGGTTATCTCAAATGTGTTGTCTTACTGGAAAAGCGCTTGAACAAGATTCTTTGATGTTTGGCGTTAGCCTAGGAGCTAGCCTAGGATACATACGATTCAGACCATGCATGTAAGTTGGAAAGAAAAGTTTAAAATCAGTCCTGAATTCAAGAGGCAACGAGTGTAAGCATGACAAAGAATTGTCTGGTGATAGGATTCAGTGAAAAGCAGCACAGCTAAACTTTGGACTTTATCTTATGAAGCACACGTAAAAATACAAGTAATTAAGGCACTATAGTAATCCCCACACATACTGCACCTGCTTCTCTGAGACAAACACACAATTATACTTCATTGAAAAACAGACATTTTAGTCACATTTCACACCACATGAGACAGTCTAGGATCAAAAACAACTCTGACATTTCTGACTTCATAAGCATAGCTAATCTCAAGACCACTCGTAATCAAACTTAAACCATTAAGCGTATATATCAGATATGGAAACAGTCTGTATATAGGGGGGGCATTATAGAGAAAGAGACAGATGCACAAAACTGTACCCTAATGAACCTACCTGCCTACCTGTTCCCCAATGCAGGATCTTTTCTTGTGGAGATACATAGTTACTCGAAAGCTAGAAAACAGTTGCATGCTGAAAACTGGAACCTTACCAGACAGGGAGGAAGAAAGTGATGCAAATGAGAAATGTGGGGATAGAGTTATTGATCTTTGTTTTAGGAATGTAACCCACCGAGATTTATACAGATCTTTAGTTGGTTAGTTAGTCTGGTCTAAATGACTACATTTTAAAATTGTCCTATTTCAATGACTTCAGCAAATTGTATACTTTAAACATATAGTGGTCTGCAATTTACCCAGTTGCTATTATCCTGCCGCCTTATTTTGTTAGTGTACCCAGCCTAGGTTTCAGCTACGATAGGAGTGTTGTAGTAGGAATGGAATGATGGCTGCTGCAAGTAATTCTAATATTAACGTAGGAAAAGCTTATTAAGGTTAAGTACAGTAATCAACTTGCTATTGATTAATTTCTCATTACTTTGAGATACAGTAACTACAGTAAACGTAAGTGCAGTTTTAAAGTAAAGAGGTTTGCTGTGTATGGAGTCATTTAAAATGAACAGCCAGTATCTTATATTGAAACGATAGAAGAAGAAAGGCAGTCTCAGGTCTTCTACACACTTGGAAAAGTAATATGGGAAATGCTGGATACCTACCAGTTATGAAAACGAATCGTATTCATTTGAATTTGTTAAAGTACAAAGTCTGTCCAAATTCAAGCTTTTCTGCAGACTGAATTTGGTTGATGGAAATTAAAGATGAACAGTGAGAAGAGTGAAATTGTGCTTCCTGGCACCTGTGTTGTTGAGGGCTCAACAGAAATGAGAAACCTTTGTATGACCTCTGACAATGTGTTGTCATTTGCAGTATGCTGTTAGTAATATCACAAGAGTATCTGTTTTAAACCTGCGTAACATTGCTTAATTAAGTTCCAGGCTCTGTCACATGCTGAAGAATTGATACTTTTTCTTTATTTTAAAGATTGAAATACTTTAAAGCCTTATCTTTTAAGATAGGCTTCAGAATGTCAGGGATGTTATGCTTGTCTGCTAGTAAATTTGTACTGTCTTGGGAAAGAAGTTTGACTAACAAGCTCAAAAAGCACTTTGAGTATGACTCTTAAAACCCATTATTGCTGCCACTAATGAAAAACAAAGTATTTATTTACTTTAAAATGCACATCACACTGAGCACAGCAAAATAAATTAAACATAAATAATTTATTCTTGATTAATTAACAAGCTGCATTGTAATACAGGTACACATAGAAACAAACATAGAAGATCAAGACAACTGAACTGTCCAATTTGTGGAATGTATTAATATCATCTGAAACATTTCCCATTGTTAAAAAAATAGCACTTTGAAGGTTTTGATAGACACTGAATTCCAAAACATATTTGGAACTTCTAGATTAAAACACCTAAAGATACCTGCAAGGTAAGGTGGCTGTATTAACCTAGATTATTACCATTTACTCCACTTCATTTCATTAAGCAATCCTTCTTGCTTAATAACTGTCAGTTTTTATTTTCATATATGAAAATAACTTTCTGCTTTGGGAGTTTTGAAGGTAACAGTTGAACACTAACAAAAATCAGTACAGAAATCTTTTTTTTTTCTTTTTAACCAGTGGATTAGTTTGCAAAAAAATCATATAATCTTTGATGCTTCTGAATTTTTTTCCTTGCACCACTCTGTTTTCATGAACTGATGTCTCTGCTGGTTACAACAATGTCTTAATACACAGAATTGACACCACACTTTCCATTCACTGTTTATAACAGATCCATTTCCTGTACCCAGTGAGCCTGTGTCTTATGACTAAATTTTAAGAATTAACAAACAAATAACACTTACATCTAACAACTTGAATGTACTCAATGGATACTTTCATTACCTTGTTACCAACAAATTATCGGAAAGTTTTCTTTGGTCTGCTTATGTATGTGCTTATTGTTCAGAATTGCCATTTTAAATTACTGATGATTTGACATGGTTAACTTTTGTTGTGTATATGAGATGAGACCTTTGAGTGACCTACGCATACTTCTAAACTAGCCATTTTCTCTGGGGCATAACAGTTTGATTCTTAAGCTCTTCTTAAGATTTTGTGAAAATGTCTTCACGCTAGCCAATTGTGATATCACCCCCCCCACACACACAGTCATTAATTTAAAAATACAGTGTTATGTTCTGAAAATCTTTGGAAAATCGCCCACGTCACATAAAGCAATCATTAAGAAACAAAAGACCAATGGTTAGCAGTTTGACTGCCAAATTTTAGTTCTCTAACTGTATGTAAAGCTTGTATAATAAACTGCACTAAAAAGCAGTAAACTGAAAAAGAGACCAAGAAGAGCTGCTTCAGTGAGCCACAGGGTGGTACAACATGGAAGAATACCTGGAAGGGTTCTGGGGGTGATCTGGGTGGTCCATGTGGCAAAGATTAAGAGCTGTGGTGCCTTTATGCTCCCTGAACATGGAACATCTTCTGTGAATAGGAGAGTTCGTCAGCATGTGTTCCCATTTACTGTGTAGTATCCTTAAAAGGTCTTTGCTTTCTCACTGGTTTCCAGTGTCCAAACAAGCATTAAATATGAGCTGCAGCATGGATTATCAAAGGACTCGCCTTTGGGAAAAGTGTCCGTAACGTTCCAGAAAATGAGCAAAACATTGCGAGTTCTCCTGGTCCCAAACTTACTCGCAGCTGTGTTTCTCCGGTACGTGCGCAATGCTGGGAGAGTTACAATCCTCCTCCTGCAGACCAGAGCCACATCGCACGGCACTCTTTCTTTCAGTTCCCACCACTGTCGGATAAGACTGCACTCAGCAGCGGGGAGGAATATATTTAAGCCTTCTGACGCAACAGGGGCGAGGGGAGAGGAATCAATGCGGGCATGGTTTTGCTCTGGCGAACTCTCCCGATGTCTTTTCCTTGACCTCCGGCGCGCCCCGCGGCCCTTGTCAGGTCTTCCAGCTGTCGATGCAGTCCACACAGCCCATCTCCTCCGTCATGTAGAGGTAAGAGTTGATGGCTTCTCGAAGGCCCTCACTCACCAGCGACTCTTCTGTGGTATCCTTGTCGTTCGAAAACAGCATGGACCTGCCATTGGACCGAGACAGACAAGAAACGTTCAGCCCATCTGGGACATGCAGGACGCTGAAATTTGACTTCCCCTTGAGGAAAGAGAAGAGCGATCTATCAATCGCCGACATACCTGTCCACGTCTTTCCAGTTCAGGGTAGGTTTTCTTACTGCCGTGGGTGGTGGTCCGGTCAGCACTGGGACGTTATTGGAACCCTGAATATAACATGGCTCCCTCAGCATACAGCACAGACCCTCACCTGACTCTGCAAAATGAAGCACAGTTACAATGCATTAGGATTATACTGTAAAGGCAAAACTATATCAAGTGTTAAATAAATTCAGTGCAATGTGTTTCCCTCCAATGGCAGTTCTTCATTTCTAGTGATTCAGTGGTCCTGAATTTCTTTAAGATCTAGTGTGACAGAAACAGCATCTTTAGAAGTGCTTACAGAAAAAGGAAGAAATCTGCACTCCAAAAAAATCAAAAACCAAGAGCTACCAAAACTGTACAGTTTTTTTTTGTGCAAATTTTGTTTTCTACAATCATGCTCCAAATCATGTAAGGCTAGCTTCTGCTTGAAACTTCAAGATGGTTGTTTTGCTTTTCCTTCTGTGCTGTATATCCATGCTACTGGCTGAAACCTGGGCTTGAGGTTGATTTTAGGCACCAGGTGTCCCCCTGTGCTCACCAGAGTAATGATCCACGAGCTGTATGAGGGAGGCAAACGTCAGTCTGGGGGAGATGTAGAACCAGCCATTTTCCAGTCGTCGGATGCGATAGTGTTTCACTGAATCCCATGAGCTAGTGGTACTTCTCCGCACTGACAGTGCAAAGGCCCCTGTTTGGGAAGAAAATGGCTTTCAGCATCACCTCAGATATTACATAAGTTTTTTTTCTTTACAAACTGAACAGTACAAACTGTACTCTCCTTCCAGTTCTTCATTCACACTTATAAAGCGTTGTTTTATCCTAATACATATGTAATGTTTTAAAAGATGCTTTATCTTGTACTTTTATTGCACTTGTGGTTCTTGCTGATGATTTTCATACTTTGAAGAGCAGTATATTCGTATTAATTCTTATCTTGCAGTCTGCTGCACCTGGGTCTAGCTTAATGATGAGCTCTTTCCTCTTCCTATTGTCAACCACTGTGCTGTTTTACTTCATCTGCAGGTGCAGGTGTGAGAACAATAACATTAACGTAAGGTTAGTGGAATTTTACTTGTTGCTCTTTTTCAATTGTAGTTGGTTTTTTGCATTAATAGAAACCTGTGCAGGGGATTCAGTTGCATCCTTGGTTGGAAGAAAAAGACCTTAATTTCATGTCATTGTGACATTTAAAGACACAACGGTCTTACATCTCAATTTGAGGGCATTAATTCATTAATTTATTGCATTTATTGCATTTATATAGCACTTTTCTTCCCCCCAAATTTGAAAGTGCTTTACATAAATTAGGGGTCCCACTTCATTCATGATTAGAGAGAGAAGTGAGAACTTGCATTCCTAATTGAATTAAGGGGGAATTTTTAGAAGACCAGTTTGTACAAAAGTAGAATTAGCCTGGACACTGGGGTCAGCACCTCTCTTACAGAGAGTGCTAGGTATCTTTAATGAAGGGGATTACATATTACAGGACGAAAGTTGTATACTGAGTTTTAAGTGTCCACAAAAGTAATTAGGATAATAATATTACACACTAAGTATGTACTATACATGTAAATTGATTCTCTAAAAAAAATTGGAGGAAATTATAGTTTATGTTGGAACCAAAGACCACCTTACAGCCTTAGAAAACATATTACAGAATTAATTATTCTAGTCACTGTTAGCAAAATCAAAGTTCAAGAAATCCCATTTTCAACTGGTGTTCAGGCAGGCAGATAGTTATGTTAAGAAAACACACAGAGCTAGTGTCACAAAACCTAGCTGTTACCAGGATTTCTTTGTCAAAATTGAAATTACTTGATGGAATTCTGAGCTCAAAGTTATTGATTCACAGAAACACATTTCTGTACCATGTTCTGTTTTCCTCATAGCTCTTCAACTTTTTGAGGGTATCTCTGGCACCCCTCAGTCTCTTTCTCTCCTTCACTCTCTTTAGAACTATCACATGTGTGATTTCCTTGTTGAGCCTTTGTTTGACTGTGGTTAAGTGGCTTTTCTGCAATAAGGCTGTTCTACAGAGAAGAAATTAAACTTGCTTCTTCCAGTATACCAAAATGTGTCTGTTTTTTTTTACTTTTTTTTAATTGCTTTCACATAAAAAAATCGATTTCATTTTAAAGTAATACTACTTTTAATCACTTTTTTTCTAATTTATGAAGTCCTTGTACTCTTCTAAACAAAGTGTACTCTAGTATAACTATGTAAATGTATATACTGTAAATCAAATATCTGACAAGTTTAACAGCACTTGTCAACCCAGTGTTCTCAAAAGCATTCCAAGGATCAGTTTTGATCCAGGGACTACTTTTTTATGTTTTGAAATGTTTGACCTCTTTTAAAAGAATGCTGAACATTAACAAGCTCGTGCTAAGATTTTTAAAAGTAGATCATTTTATACTACATTTCCAGCACCTGTTGGAAATTTTACACGAGTTATTTTACATTAGAATTAAAACTGGATGTGTCCTGTAGTGCAGGGTGCTTTCTCAGCTGACTTCGGGGGTTTAGGTTAGGTCTTCATGCACTTACAGTTTATTCTCAAGAGTCTCACTTGGTTAAATAAAGGACACTGAGCCAAACTCAGGCACCAGCTACTGTCAAGGAGCATCTGGGGGAGTAAGTAAAGGGGCTAATCTATCAACACTATGTGTTTTTCAGTTCTGCACATCATGCATGGAGAGTGTCTTAAAATGGCTGACCTCTCTGACTTTGGCTCTCGCGGATCATGAAGGAGCCGGCTTGGTTGTAGGGCAAGAGCAGCAACTCCTCTGCCTTCTCGCGACTGATGCCCTCAAACAGCCACCTGTGGAGAGAATGGGGGAGAAAGAGGGGGAGCAGTACAGACATTAGTGTCTTCAGCAGGCTCGCTGGCAAAAACAGGAACTCCTAGAAGGAGCTGCAGCACACTTTCCGTTTCTGTACATCCCCGAACTCTGAAGCAGACAGCTCAGTTTGTGGAAACTTGAACAGGTAGGCACGCTGTCACCCACTGGGGAATATATGACATCACTCTCACTGAAGGGAAGGAGGCTGGAGTGAAGGTCTCCAGCCCTATCATCTCTTCCTTCGCTCAAGCTACTGTTAGACTGTGCGCTCGGTTTTATTGCCCAGGCTGCTGTACACGGCTTACCTGTGAAAAACCTTGGCAGTGTAATTGCTGGGAATGTAGCTTTCTTTGCCTGTGGCTGTAGAGGACACCCTCCACCAGTCTCCTTCCCTGTAACAGAGAGGCAGTGAATAATCAGCAGGGTCAGATACCCCCCTAGACAGCTTCAAGGTCGAAACCGCCGTAGCATTTCTGAGTGATTTCGTCCAGACATCGAGAAATAACAGGGCATCAAAACATCAGCAGAAGGGAGAGCTGCTTCGATGCTTCACAGCCACTTTCAGCAATAAAGTTAAAGATATTCTAAAGCAGAAAAAAGTTTAAGTGATGGGCATAGATCACTGAATAAACTTACTGAGTTTTATCTTTCCAGATAAAAATATATCTTCAAATTTTATTTTACAGTTATTTTGGGATATACATATTCTCAAACGTTGAGAATGGAAATATTTTTAAATGAATTTATCGGTTGATTTTCAAGGTGTGGCATCTATTTTCATGGACACCTGCCCTCACTCATTACTAGACCTTTTACAGTTTGGGTTTTAAGTTCAGAGTTCGTGTACTCTAGGTCAAGCCCTTCTTAATTGAGCTTTATTTTGTATATCAGCCTTTTGTCTGGGTGTTAGTGAGTGTGTGCAATGAATCATGGGGTCGATGGACAGTAGCTTACTCTGACAGGATGTTGAGGCGCTCCCCAACCCGAATACTGCAGTCACCAGGACCCCCAGATGGATAGTTGTAGAGAGCTACCACCACATATTTATTGGGGTCTGCAGAAGGAGAACACAGACACAGAGCATTAGTTCTGCACTGCTCTTAAAAACATGAATGAGAAATGGTCATTTGATGACTGATAAACCAACCAGAGTTCCAGGAGCATAGAAATACTAAATGGTTTTCATCGCGTGAACAGAAAAAAAAGAGAATTATTGTATTTACACATATACAACTCCAGTTTTCGATGATGAATCTGTATTTTTATGTATGATCTTCTACCAGCAGGCCTGTATAACATTTCCACCGTTCCTCACCGTACTTAGTGATTATCAGATTTATTTTTTGTATTTAAATTTTGTTTTCTTTATCCCCAAGGACAATGGTTTGCAACACTGCACATACTAATTTGACTTGAAAAATCCTAAGGTTTCATGGCTAATAATTATTACTAGATTTCTTTAGCTGCTATTTTCTTTTTGCTTTCTGGAATGGAAAAAATTCAGAGCTGTTTCACCTACTGGGATACACATCTGTCAAATGGTTAAGAAAGCAAAATTACACCTACTGTACAAAAGAACAATGCCGAAAAGAGCTGTTTAAGTACAATCTAATTACCTTTGATTTTGTTAGTATGGAACTTCACGTTAGATATGAGCCCATGTTAGAAAATGGCCTTTCTTTATTTTTCTCTGCAAAGCATAACTGTTACTTTCATGTTAGTCTATGTGAAGCACTTTGGACACGTCTTTTCTTTCATTTTGCTATCGTGACAAGAAAGTGTTTCAGCACTTGTCGTGAAAGGTTTGTGAGGGCACAAGAGCTGACTTTGAAGGGTGGTGACCTCTCTTACAGAAGGTAGACGAGCTGGTTTCAAGAATATCTTCACCAAAGCTCAGTACACAACGGCCAGAGCAGCATCGAGAGAGGGAGATCCATTTAGGGGTTTTGTTGTGATAATATAAGACCATAAAAAAAGGTTACGAATGAGAGGGGGTTTGCTAATTAGCAGTTATTCATCCAATGATCTGTTGAAAGGGTCAATGGTAATGGTTCCGTGACTTGTTCAATACTCCCACAAACTTTTGGGTAAAGAAGTGCCTTCAGTTCCCGGATTTAATGCACTTCCTAGTAGTTTAAACGCACTTCCACGTAGTAAAGTGATATAGAATTAGAGATTAGTAATACCACCGAAACAAAGAGGATAACAGCAGTCTCTTCTCTTCCAGGAGCGGCCCCTAGTTTCTCCGATCTCCTCTCCCTGGGGGAGGGCGGCAGTCGGGGTGCTTACCCCTTGCGGCGGCCTGCGGGGGCTCTTGCTGATTCGAGAGGTTCGCCTGCTGAGAAGAGTTTCGCCTGCCTTTGCTGGGACGACTCCCCATTTCGCTGTGGGCTCTGTATGCTCTGGTGTTGAACAGTCTCACTGGCAGATCCTGGAGGTAAAAGGTAATCAATTGGCTGTTGTGAAGCCCACCAGCATGTTTCCCTTTTGAATATTTTTTTTCCACATTAACGTTTTTTTCTACATTAACGTTGTTCACCAGACTGCAAACCATTTCTGTCCTGCGAAAAATACAATCATTTTATTTTCCCCTGGTACCTTTCCTCCATCTCCTCTGCAATCGCACCAGGTTTCTATTTGATATTGTACCCTTTTGCAGCAACAACTATTTGAAACACTTTAAAAAAGCAAACCCAGTAACCAACATTAATATAGTTAAAAAGAAGGGTAAGGGTTGGTTTAATCTTTCCTTTTCAAATCTGCTTTTAACTGCACTGCCTTTTGTTCTCATTGGTATGCGAGTTTTTTCTTTAAAAGACTAGACCTTGTTATCAGTCTATGTATCACTTGCTTGTAGGTGCCTTTCTGAATGCTTCTGAACTCCAGATGCATCCTATCCTTTTAGAGAACCAGAGAATTAAAAGTGATACTCATCTGGTCACAGGGAGCACGCTACTGAAATATTTTTTTTTCGTTTAGGTCATGGAAACACGTTTACAATGTTCAAGATAGGTTGAGAACAGGGTGTGAAACCCATTCTGTGTATTATATAGCTGTGAGCATCCGTTGAGGTCATTTATTCTGATCTGGTCTCAGAAATAGGTGCACAACTCTCCCTCTGTAAAAGTCTATCTCACCCATCTATAAGATTAAAGATTTTTTTTGATTTGCTGCATTGGGGAAAAATATGATTTTCGGCTCACTGTTCTATGTACAAACTCTTTGTAAAGCTATACTTGCAAAGCCAAAATCTCTGAATGGTGCAAAGTGTATCAATCCAATCGATATTTTGTAGCAAGAAAACGGTAGCAATTTCATCTCAGTCCAGATGTTTAAACTTTTACAACAAATCAAAATGCATTGCATCTAATGCTTACAAAACACTATGTGTCTGCTAATGCTTTGACTTCAAATTAGCCAAGAAATAAAAATGCCATTCACTTCCGAACAGGGTCAGTTTATTGCAGTTTACTGTAATTTCCGTCAGCAAAAAAAAAAACCAACACATTTATATTAGTGCCCTCTTTTAATAACTGCAGGCCTACATTGATTCTACATTTTTCTCAAACTTGCTCAGAGAACACGAGAGGATGTAGATAAACGCTTCTTTACAAACCACCTTTTCCAACCACAGAGTTGTGACAAGGTTGAAACGTTAAGTGACAAACAGCAGTGAGCCACAAATAAACTCTGGGCTATCTGAAGGGGCTATTGAGGCTGTGTCAACATGTCAGCATCACTTGTAGGGAGTGGCCCCCTTCTTTATTACTGGTTTCTACATTTGTGAAGTACTATCTTAGAACAAGAGCTTTGAGAACAAGAGCTCTGAGAGCCCGTCCCCTGGATATGAGAGAATATACACAAGATCGAGGCATGATTTTCTTAGTGAACAGAAACGCTTTAGTGATTTCTAAGTTTGAGTTATTCTTAGTGATTTTCTTAGTGAACCATTGTTTTTGCAACATTTTGAAGAAGGATATAAAGCTTAAATTTGGTAATATAACTATAAATGGGGTTGTTTTAGTATCTACCATGTGTCAGTAAAAGCATATATAAAAATATACCATTTGGCCTATGAAATTACTACATAGCTCCAGCATACAGGTACATTTATTCAATTGATTACTTTTTATATTTGCACATCCCTGACTGTGTGAATATTAAGGCTGGATACTAGGACTAAAATGCCATTCACACTTGCTTGCAGAACTAAGGCATACAAAGATGCATACAAAGATACATTTTATCTCCTGTTGTTTGTTTTCTGTTCAGGAGATCAAAAGTGAATTATTAAAAGGTTCTCTTTGACAAAGCTCAAAGGATTAGGAAAAGACAGTCTTAAATTTCAAAAATGTGCTTCAATGCATTGTTCTAATGCATAGATGCGATTCTTTGACAATAGACAAATTGTCAAAATATTGATATATTTGACAATAGAGCAACTATGAGTTTCTCTGACCCCCAAAAAGATAGTTATACACAGTCTTAGCTGTGGTATGTTCATATACTATAGAAAACAAATATGAATGAAGATTATAGGTTTCTTTAACAATTCTCTTGTTCAATTACTGTATATAGATAAAAAGATCATGATAAAATTAATTTTGCAAAGAATTGTTTCTGTAAGTGAGTAAGACCCGGATTATATCATAACTGTGATCCACCCACCTAATGCAAATGATACATTTAGTATTTGATAGCAAGTTTCACTTACCAGACTTTTCTTGCTCATACTTAATGGAAAGTTGCCACTCTTTACTAGTTATGTAAATTCCAACTTATTTTTTACTAAAAAGTTTAGGTCAGAATAAAAGAAAAAACAAAATAATGGGTCCATATTGCATTGAGTTTTTGCATGAGGAATTGAACACATTTCTTGGTTAAAATAAAACATAGCTCATTTTTTTTAGAATCCATCATGGACAAAGACAAGGTTTTTAATGGAAAAGTTCAGATGAATAATCTGTCCACACAGAAATGGAAATACAGTATTAACAAGTCTTTTGAATATGAAACCCTGTCACGTTTTATGGCCTGCTCTCCTCTGTTCTGCTCGGATTATTAGAAAGACCATGTGTTGCAGTATGTCCCTGCTTCCAAATTCATTTTAGCATGTGCTACCAGCTGTTCCAAAGATCTGACACATCTTGACATATAATGCAACAAAGTCAGTTTTTTCTATGTGTTTAGATACATCAATGTATCATTATATCCCAGTTTAAATAAAAATCGTATTTGTGTTAATATTGAATTGAATATTGAAAAATAATGCAAAAAAAAACTTTTGCTAGTTCCTCAGCATTTTGCTTCTCTTTTAGCTCTTCAGTTAGAGAGGTACAGAGAACATACTGTACAACAACAAATGTGAACAAGTATCACTATAATCATTTTGAAAAAAAAACACCAAGCAGAAGTAACCAAGGTATCAAAGAAACAACTACCGTCAAACCAACACTTAGCTTCGAGGGATAATGTAAAAGAATAATTGTTGTAAAGATGAAGGACAGTGCCTATCAATAAGTCAAGGCAAGAAGGTGGAGCTGACCAAAAACAAACCAACAGAATGAACATGCACAATCAGTTCTTAACCACAATAAAAGAGATTCTGTTTTCTGTATTTTTTAGAGTGATATAACAATTTGTTAAAATGGTATCACATTGCAGTACAATTTTGGTTAAAGAAATCAAAATCCGTTTTAACTAAATGCCATTGAATGTAAAACTGAAACACATAACCAACATTCTCATATAGAGAATAGTGTCAAGACCCTAAGTATTTCAGAGATCAAGGAGGGGAAAAGAAAATCAACAACACGATGTTTGCTTATGCTTAAGGAAGTGTAAAATCAAAAAGCACAATACTCACATCATTGTGTTCCCTTGCTGTTTAGCATTTGTCTAGTTCACGTCTGCGAACATGAGGCTTCTGTGGCTGACTGATGTTACAAAAGGCTCCAGGTGAAGGGTCCGACGACTGACGGCTGCACCAGCTGTGTTTTGTGAGCGAGTGTGAGTCTGGGATCTAGTCTCCTCTACGCGTTGTCTTGCACTGTGCCACTGCCGAGCTCCTCCTCTCAGTTATTCCTCTGCAAGAGCGCTGTGCAGGTGTGGAATGACGTGAAATCACTGAAGAACAATGGGAACCTGTGGGCTAGTTTGTACATCTCCCGTCTACTGCCGCTGCCTCAAGCTTGCAGCAAATTTCCTGTGACGACAGAGCTGATGCCCTGACACAAAACTCTGCTCTGAAGACGTACAGGGACAAGTCATCCATCTTGACCCAAAAACATTGCGTCTTTTTTGTTTTAGTTGTGGCCAGATCATAGGACGCTTTCTTGCAGAAGACTGTTGTTTTGGAGTAGAGAAGTGGTTATACACAAAACACATAGTCTATCAGGGAAGGGTCAGACCTCCTCATAATATGTCTAGGTCAAGCTTTTATAAGTCTTTATATCTTTACGGAGACTTATATTTTAATTTGTCTTACTAAGACATTAAATGTTGCACAGAAAGCTTTTAAAAATGTTAACAGAAAGGTCTAATTCAATCATTTATTTTTTTCAGGTGTATTGTCTTTAAAAAACCAAGAGCAAAATGTTAACTGATTTTAACAGGTAATGAAAATTAACAAAAATAAAATAAAAGGACACAAACCAATATACAAATTTCTGAGAACAAAATATTTCTTTAGCGATTGCAAATCAACCACATCTGAGTGCTTAAAAACTAACAAATATGGCAAATATTTTAATCTGTTAAATTTGTACTTGGGGAAGAAAAACATGGCAGATTAAACAGGTTAATAACAGATTGGTTTTTGGAAACCTTCTAACCTTTTAAATCTACCTCATGTTTTTAAATGCGTAACATGACAGTAATATTCCAACATATTTTAGGTCCCTTTATTATTACCATCATGGATGTGTGTAATAATCGTGATGAGTACAAATGGAACCAAAAAAACACAAACATTTGCACTGTGACAAAAGGCGGTTTCTTTGCTGGAATGATCATTATGATAAATGACTTGGTTAGTTCTTCCACATCCTCCTTCAGGAAAATTAACAACTTTAATAATTTATTAATCACACAAGTGCATCGTCTCACACGGGACACGCCCTTTGCAATACGTCATGCTGCCACGCTGTTCCATCTTGTGACGTGAGGATTTCAAAGAGGAGGCAGCTTTCTGAAGGTAAACAAGATGCTTCGGAAAAGATCGCTAGGCTGGGGTTGTGCAGATGTTTGCTAAAACTAAAAATAACTGACTTATCAAAAGTGGAATCGTCCCCCCTATTTCTGAAGATATCTTAATCATTAGTGTGATGAAAAGGAAACTACCACTACTGTGTGACAGTGAAAGGTTTGTACTCTCTCATGAAACTCACATCTTGTGTTGGTCTGCGTCACCCTTTTTTTAACAACTTTGTAAAATGAACAGAAATCCAATTCACAAAGAAGAAGAGCTTGTTGGGGCAGCATAGAGTATTTGGTAGGGCAGTTTTCCCTTCTTGGCAACAGACTAAACAAGGACCTTGTTCTGTAATTATTTTGCAACTGCAGAATAGCACAATCACAATCACAGTCAAATCCATGCTGAAGTGTGAAGGCAAAATATTTAGTCTATTGCCCCAAAAACATGCAAAAATGATTTTTCTCAGTTCCAGAAGGACACACAGCTCTTGGTAAAGGAAGCCTATGGTGCGCTGAAAAGCTCTGGAGTCTTGATTCCTAATATGTAAGTTAGTAACTTGAATAAGCATCATACCCTATTTAGGAACAAACAAAAGAGCCACAGCTTTGATCTACAGCCAGCTCATTAGGAACTCAGTGCACTCTGTACAATTAATTGGTGACCCACAGAGCTGGAAGCAGAGGCATGAAGATATAAATGTCATGGTGACCCTGACTACACTCCAGTAACAGGACTTGAGTCAGACTCTATTAAAATGTTAGTTTAGATTGGTCTTAGTTGCACTGTCAAAACAGGATGGTCTTGCCTCTTTCTGGGGGTCAGATACAACAGCCATGTATAACACTGCAGTATCATAGGTTTGAGCCTGTCATCTTCCCATTCACATGAGCAGTCATGATATGAGCAGACAAGGTGTCAGCATTTTCAAGACATTCAGCAGTTATCTCGTCCTCTAACCTTACAGTGCCTTTTCATTCGTTGTATGCACTGTCCATGTGAACTTCAGGGTTTTCTTTTTGTGTGCACTCTTGATGTATGAGGATTTCCATATGATGTTCAGTGATGTCACTGGTTTGCCCTCATTTTTCTTCCCTTGTTTAGTTCCTCATGGTGTTCTTCATTGGCATTAAAGTAGAGCTCTGATGAAGGAGTTTGTATATCATGCATGAGGTAGGCATCCTTGTGCTTGAATGTTGGGTAACGTGTGTGTATCAAGGTAGAGACCATTAGTTGCTGATAATCTGTCAGTGTTTGAAGGTCAGCCAATTTTTCAGCCGAGCAGGATCACATTATCTGCAAACCTCAGCTCATTTATAGACTCGCTACCACCTCAGCTGTATACTGTATGCAGAGTTGTGCTTCGTAACATCAAGCACTGGATGGTGATTCAGTAGGAGCAAGGACAGGTTAAACTGGCAGACGAGGCCATAGCTGTGAGGGCGAACATCTACTGTGCCCTTTTCATTTTAGCACCGCTGTGCTCTGGAATATTCTGACAGAATTCGGTTTCACCAATATACTGTACACTACGTGATGCCTTGCGGTCATACCAGACAAGCTGGACAAGAAACATACTAGCTGGCATGGGAGATGGCTTCACAACAGAGAGTGAATATACTGTATCAGCGGTCTGCGCCATTACAAGCAATAGCAAAAACAGTCAATGAATTTAAGGACATCAATAATTCCTGTTGCAAATAGGTTGCAGAGCCCTGCAAGCTTCTCAAGGATGTTTCCAATGTTCTTTAACTTTCATGGAGGACAATGAAGTCCATGGATGATCATGGCTGAAGTCCTGCAAAACATCTTATAACATTCATTTATGTAAGACTGCTTAGGTGGGATCACGTTTTATTAAAACTGATTTGGTGGGATACTATTGACATACTGTAAATCTAAGTTACACAAGCTGACTCTGATGTGCTTGACAGAGAGCCTTTGATTGGAACCAAACAGGATATCAGATAAGACTATTTCAGCAGTGAGAACTTGTCTTCACTCGACAGAGAAGATGTCAAGTTGTAAAAGAAAAAACAAGCAAACCACGTTTGTGGAAAATCATTTGCAGCCAATGGGGAAAATGAAATAAGAGGACATTGAGAAATCAACAGATAATGAAGGTTGCACGCGAACATCCTGCAGATTATGTGCTTGGAAAGACGATTCAGCACTGTGAAAGCCTTAACAGCACACTAAGTCTTTTTGGTTTGTTCTGTATCTGATGTACCTCATGCTAAAAATAGTTCAACCATAAATGTGTCATTTGTGGTCCAACCTTGTGCAAACAACAAAACAAAAATAAAAGGTTGAGGTTGGAAACTTTGGCCAGTGTTACCAAACAGATTCCGAAAGCAAAAAAGACTAAAAGATGAAGCAGTCATTTTTTGACGTAGTCCAGTGTACAGTATATCAGCTTGGTTTTTAGCCTTATCAAAATCAGTAGGCCATTCTTCTCAGATGTCTTATTGCTTGGTGTTGTAGTTATTACATCTCCAGCCATTGTCTTCATGTCTGCATTGTTTACATTTAAACTGTTTACTTGTACATTGTCTACTGTTTGTTTGTATTTGTCTTGATGCACTGTCTGCACTTTGTGTTTTTACACTTTTTTTAAACAATCGAGAGACTTTCTGTAAGTAAGAATTCCATTGTACCAATACATGTACCGGTTACATACGGCAATAAAGTTCAAGTTCAAGTATTTAGTTATTTCAACCTACAGTGACTTCAGGAGGGAAAGAATATTCAAGATGTGACTTCAAAAATCCTCTTCACTACGTTTTCTTTCAGTTTGTATTCTTTTCATAGTTTGTTGCAGTAACTGAATATGTTCCTTGCAGTAAACATTCACCAGTGAGACAATGGATGAAGGGCTCATATGAGCACCAGAAAGTCCAGGAATGAGAAAGGCCATTCAGGCCATTAGGCTTTTGTTTTTTCCATTCTGTAGGTGCACAGCAGGTGTTGGCTGCACTGGGAGCACCCCAAATATGAAACCTCTGTAACCTCCCTTCCCCCTGACAATTTACAACAACCACTCCAGCTACCCTGCATGTTTGGGAGGTAGGTCAAAACTGGAACTCCTGTAAAAAACTCATGTGAACATAGGGAGATCATGGAGAAACCCTCCCAAGCACTCAAGGCTGGAATCAAACCAAGACCCTGGAGCTCTTTAGGCATTAGTGCCAACCAGCACCTTGTTTTAGGTGGTCCCAGAAAGAACACAGTAATGCAGAAGCCAGAGCACAGGTTAGTACTGAAGCGGGACAAATATATCAACACATATTCACGACAATAGTTTTAGCACTTAATCATGCTGTGGAATGTATGTAATAATTACTGTATCATGTTAGCTTAGAGATGCAACTCTGTACCAGTCACCAAATTGCCTTGAGGTCTGTTAAAGTACGATAAGAACTGACTTAATAAAATCAACAGTAGTTGATTTACATCTAACAAGGTTCTCAAGAGAAGGAGGAATCAACTTCAAAGAACAGGATGAAATCCAGAGCCGGAAATCAACCTGTCAGGTACTACATGAGACAGAAATGTATACAAAGGGTTAGAGACTTTAGTAGTTTGTCTGTTTTGCAGGGTAGACCTAGCTATGCATTGGTGTGCGTATTGAGCTCAATAATGGCTGCATCTGCACAAGGGCTGTCTATTGAAGAATTTCCCATGATTGCACAAAAGAGAAAGGCATACCAGTCCTGGATAATACTGGATGTAAAGGTATGTAAAGTGTTTGCCATCTAGAAAGCCATATAAAGCCTGCCCTGTGGCTGTGGATACCATTAGCATGTAACACTGTTCACTGTATATCTAAATCAGAAGGTATGTACAGAGAAGGGCACTGTGCTGGCAAGCCAGCAGTTGACAATGCATTCAAATGCAAACGCTATGTGCCTTAAATGCTATGTCTATAACCTTGGTATTATTTTTGTCTATTGTGTTAAGGAACCTGGAATTGTGTTCAAAATATCTAATAAGTCATGTTTTTCACACATTTTCAGTCGTACGTCTTGCACAGTCTGAAGTAACATGCCTTTTCTGGATAAAATAATTGAAACCTGTGAGTTATAGCTAATTTACAACTTCTAGCTTTATTTAATAATCAGTACAAATCGATATAATCAGCAGACAGTGAGAAGTGTATTTTCCCTGCTTGAAGACAGAAAGCATCATCACAAGCTCATCCATGATTTCATTCAGTCAGGAACAGCAGTGAATATCACACAGTGAAGACATTAAATAACACTTAATGTATGACACCTACCACCATTAAAAATGAACAAACTAATGCAACCTATATAAAAATGTTACTCTTATTTTTTTTTCCTTGAACAGTTTTGTCAAACCAGTCATTCTTTTTGTTTTTCGTCACGCTAAAAATGAATAAAGTTTAATCTTAAAATGCAATTAACCAAGAAAGTGAATGAAAAAATTAAGTGCTGTTCAGTTTCCTTTCCTTGATTGAAACACTACAATGCAAAGCTTCAGATACACTGCAAAAGCTCATCAAATATATTCAAAAGATGTTTCATGATTATGGTACTTTAAAGTAATTTAGGATCCCATTAAAAACAAAGAACAATGGCTCGTCTTTCCTGCCAACTACTAATAAGGAAAGCTTTACTAACAGTCTAGGTTTAAGTACATAAATATTGTTGCACCTCTACATGTGCCTCTCAACTTATAGTTATTCATGCATGTAAATTTGTTCATATAATGAAACCTGTGTTAATAGAGTACAGACAGAAAAGGCTTCTAATATTACCCTGGACTCGAGGATATATTGAGACTTGGCAGATTTCATTGCTACTGTTAATTGTTTTTTTTGGTAAAGGCGTAGAGACAAAAACTGCCTTTAACCACAGAAATTACTCTATTTTAAAAGACCTGTTGGCCTGTCAAATGCAGACACAGCATTGTTGACAAGCTGTTCAGTACAACACTGAAGACATCCAGGTGCTGTAATGGTGAACTTCATCTCAATTTTCCATCTGTCTGTTCGTTTCCCCAGTGTCTGACACCTTTTTAACACGGGCTTCACTTTACATTACAGTTCTCTCCTGTTTCAGATGTAAGCTTTGGTCCACAAATCAAAAATCTGCAACTCAAACACAACCGTCTTGGGGGTGAAAATACTTTAGATGCTAGTACCAGTGAAAACACTTAAGTAACAGACCTAAAGAAACCTGACAAATATACTCCTACACTTTCGCCATGCCATAACTGCGTTATAAAAAGGTACTGGACTAGAACAATGTCACACTACATTTCTCGATTGAAGGAAGCGAGCACTGAATTTTCACAAAGCACGATGGCGTAAAAAAAAAAAGTCTGTGTTCATGTACTGTATGAGCACGTGTGTGTAGTATCTGGGAACAAAGAGCCAAGTGAAAGAGAGCTCACAGACGGAGATGAAAGAGAGAGCCGACTGCTTTGTGTGTTCTTAATCCACAAGCTGCAAGGGAAGACTACTGCAGCAGTGGGCCAACAAAAAGGCAAATTAATCTTCCTTCGCTCGTCTTGTCATGATTCTGTTTCCTCCCCAGCCGTAGTAACGTCTGGTTTCTTAATCATTTTCAGCCCAGTGAAAAAAACCCCGAGACTTAACAGACAAAAATAAAAGGTTAAAACGCCAAAATAACCGCTGTCAGACTGACACCGGAGGCATGCACACACCACTGGGAAACAATAACTGGGTACTTGGTGGAAGATGGCAAGCTCTTGACATTTTTTTGTCTTGTTGTCCTCACTGCTCTTATGACTGGAAGGCGTCTACGGGATGTGTCGATCTTTATAATGTGGCTCCCTACAGCGCTCGCTGAGCTGGGGGCGGGGGGGAACTGGCAGGAAGAGGAACGCAGGGGAGGGAGGGCCAGCCGACTGGCGCGTCTTAGCAGGAGACCTCCATGGTCTGAGGCCTGGCCTGGGTGTCGTTGCCGGCGGCGGCGGCCCCGGCCCCCTCCACTTGGTTGCCGGTCTGGGAGCGGCTGCGGGCCCCGTCCGCGGATCCCACGCTGGACGAGGAGTGGGTGCGCGAGCGGACGAGCCGGGTCATGCTGGCTGTGGGCACTGCCGAGGAGAGGAAAGGGCACATCAAGCGGCCGCCCGCGAGGCACGGGGTAAGCGATTGCCGACATCGCGAACACTCGAAACGAAAATGTCCGCCGGCAGCTCTGGGAGAATAATGAGGCCCTTGTGGTGTCTGATCACCTCTTTGGAAATGAGAGGATATGCGAGATGTAGTCATCGTCAGCTTTTGAAAAATGTTTGAATAAAAGTACACATTATCATATACATTTACATGGGCTCCATTTTAAAAAAGCCCTTTTTGCTGAAGTTGAATGAAATTCATGGTTCATTATTCTCCCATTACTCTGAAGGAATCACTGAAGAAGTCAGTGTCAGTTACTTCGTCAATAATTAACCCCCTCCTCCCCCCCAGCCCATCCAAACTCTGATATGTAAAATGCAACATGCATCACACAGAAAAAAGAACTTTACGGTACAAACAGACAGACAGGGAACAAGACAGCAGCGACTGAATGAATGAACGAATGAATGAATGAATAGAGGCTGAGATGAACGCTTTCTTGCTCCCCACACCACCGCCTCAAGTTTGGGAAAGAATTCAAAATCGTGACACAGATCATGCATGACAACAACAGAAAAAAAAAAGGAATTGCAAAATATGAGAGGCAAACAGCATGGGCATACAAGTGTAAGGAACAGAAGGCGTGTTGTAAAGATGGTACCACTGAAGGACTAGTGCAGCAGTGCCCAGGGCACAAGATCCTGGTACCTGATTCGCTGTTCAGGTGGCTGAGCTGAACGTAAGGGACTGTTAGCATTGAGGGGGGAGGAGGAAGGAAGAAAAATAAGGAGGGACATGGAAATATATATTCAGGTTATTGGTTCTTAGACAAAGCTTGGTCTTAATCTGGTATTTTCTGACACCTTTTGTGTAAACATAAAGACATCTACCCCTTTGCTCCTCTTGAACAGACTTTAAAATAATATTAAAAGAAGAAATAATACGAGGTTGCTCTCTCCCAGTCCTTTGTCTCGTAAACACTCCATTGTCCTTCAAAAAAGTTTTTTTGGTAGATTAGATCTCATACACATCAGTTCGGCCACTCTAGGCATGGTTTGTGTTAAAATGAAGCTTTCAATTTTTTCCCTGATCTGTTAATAAGGAGGAAAACAAAACCGGCCAAGTCCACCCCAGCCGGATGAAAGAAGAGTGGGACCTGAAAGATGTGCAGTCTTCTTCTCTACTCTGTTGTGCACTGGTGCTAGCCTGTTACTCAGGGCATTTCTTCATGGTTCAAAGCCATCTTTCAACAAACATCACAACACCCGTGGGGAAGATTAGACATTTACGCAGCTCAGACGTATTTCTGCTCAGCTCTGCTGTTGGAATTTGCATGTATCACATCTTTTTGATACCAGGTTCACTTCCTGTGCAGCAAAGATGAATCACTATCTGGAATCAAATCAAAAGGCTGGAAGAAACAAATGTTCAGAGGCTTCATTCATCACCTGAGGTCCCCACCCCGGACTCAAGCACCCACGCCAATTTCCCCCCCAAAATAAGTCAACTGGGGGACACCTTTGAATGATAACATCACATACAAGAGAAAGTTTCTCTTACATTTGCATAGGGGAAGACATTTCCATTGTGTCGGCACATGCAGACAGACCGTGCACTGCGACATCCACTCATATTTCTTAAGACACGGGAAAATTATTTTTTAGCCATCTTCACGCTTCACAACCAGATTTGTTTTTTGAATTAAGGGTTTAAAAAAAACTGGGAATAAAAAATGCTTACATTTAAAATACAATGAAAAATATGTACAGTTTGTGGAGATTTTAAAGTGTATTTGGTGTTCACAATTACACATACTGTATTCTTAAGTAAGCACATAACATCAAGGACACAATACGAGAATGTCCCGAAGTTGAAACCCTGGAATACCATAGGTTAACACCTTAACTCTCATGATTTCTATCGACCAAATAATCAGGGCCTCAGTCTGACATCTTGAGCGAAAGTAGACACGTCTTTCAAGATTCATGGATCAGAGAGAAGAGTGCCATCTGTTACTCATTCTTAATTTCAAAACACAGAAACAAAGGCTAATATGAGGTTCTGATACTAACGGTAACATGACATTAAGTAGAGACTCAGACCAGATGAAGGATGGCAGTCTCGAGTCTGAAGTGGTTCCTACAACTCTCTGGACTGCTTGGTGTTAATTTCAAACACTCCCTTTCTGAGAAGCCTGTGGCTTCTGTATTGACATCAGTACACATTGAGATTAATTTCCAAGGCAGTAACCAGTGCCTTTTAAATATCTGAATCAGCCAAAGATATCTTTCAGCATCCAATTACATTGTTTTTAAATGTCCTTCACTTAGTTACCTGTTGATTGATGACCAGGTTGTGAAAGGCAATAGCAACCACTTCCATCTAAATCCATTAACAATGGTTATGCAGCAATTTACTATGAAAATTGATCACTTAATTGGTCTGAAGTTTGTTATACTTACACTTATATAGCGCTTTTTTCTGGACATTCCACTCAAAGCGCTTTACAGGTAATGGGGACTCCCCTCCACCACCACCAATGTGCAGCATCCACCTGGATGATGCGACGGCAGCCATAGTGCGCCAGAACGCTCACCACACATCAGCTATCAGTGGGGAGGAGAGCAGAGTAATGTAGCCAATTCATAGATGGGGATTATTAGGAGGCCATGATTGCCGAGGGCCAATGGGAAATTTGGCCAGGACGTCGGGGTTACACCCCTACTCTTTTTGAGAAACGCCCTGGGATTTTTAATGACCACAGAGAGTCAGGACCTCGGTTTTACGTCTCATCCGAAGGACGGTGCCTGTTTACAGTATAGTGTCCCTGTCACTAAACTGGGGCATTAGGACCCACATGGACTGCAGGGTGAGCGCCCCCTGCTGGCCCCACTAACACCTCTTCCAGCAGCAACCTTAGTTTTTCTATATATATTTGTTACAACTAGAAATCTGTTTTTTTTTTAACTTGCTGAAATCTGAATAAAAATAGGCTTTACTCAGCAAGAGGGTACATTTATTACATAAACATATTTCCTCAGTTCTCAAGTCAATAAAGCTTAGCTTCATTTATATTCTTTATGTTAGGAAATACCTGGCAGGGGAATAAACAGGCATTTATTAATTAAAAAAAGCAAAAACAAAATGTAAAAATCTGAGAAGTGTCCCTACTTTTACCTTACTTCACAGCAAAGTAAGGTTTGTTTGCATTATAAAGTACAGGACTGTCCACCAGTGGTAACCAAGTTAACATTCACAAAATAATTACTCATTCCAGTAACAAAATGTTTTAATAAAAAAAAGTATTTCTTGCCCCTGTAAAAAAGGACAGCTGCTTCGCCTTCTTTAAAGACATTAAGAAGCCCAAATACTTCCCCTCACGTTTGCACCCCTTGTCACCAATAACTCTGATATATACACAACTTTTCAAAATGTATCAACAGGAGAATCTTAGACACTGAATAACAGTGAAAGTTTGATAAAGTTTAAGAATACAATGCCCCACATTTCATTAAAAATGCTTCCAATATTTATTGCAAGCTTCATATACACTTTGCATGATTATATCTGGTATCTGTGTCTAATGATTTGTAATGGTCTGTTTTATAAGAGGTAACTGGTAAAAATTGGGCTCTGAATTGCATAAAAGCTACGTCTTCATTATAGGGGCCACTGTACCTTAAAGTGAAATAAAAGAAAATGGATTCACACTCGGAGGATTTCAGAATGCCAATATATATTGGCATGGCTCAGTGCAAGTCATGCTAGAAACATCCTTTTCTTAATAGAAAACAATTACTTACAAGCATGGTTACGCAACACTGAAAACAAGACAGTGATATCATTAGAGTTCAGTCATGTCAGTCCCTCTCCTTAGTAATATGAGCTTTCAACGTCACAACTAGTCCCAAAACACTGCCTGTATTTATATTTAGCCTAACACTAACAGATTAAGTAATAAACAAAATCTAAATATTCTCCTCTGTGGAAAAAATTGAATTAAACTATACAACAGCAGCTCAGACAGACGTATGCCACAAATTAACCTCCTGGAGGAATGCATTGTTAAATCAATTAAAAAAAAAAAAACTTGAAACTTTCTTGAAAGGCCTCAGGTCCCTGAAATTGAAACTGCCACATGCGAATATTTGAACACACGTCAGACAGGTTTTAATTTGCAGCTAACATTTAACATTTATGGGAAATCATGGCACACAAGCCTTTACATCACTCAGACGAGTTTGGTCTAATACCAATCTGTGTTTGCAGTCACTCAAAATGAATATACACTTCTGAATGAGAGAAACATGCTCTTGTCTGCAAGTTCAGGGTAGACCCAACACCAGTGCGTTTTGAGCTGTCCCAAAACATTTTACTTGTTCATTCATAATAAAGGTGATGTCAAGGAGGCCAAGAATATATTGTGGAATAACTAGATTTTTTACTAGATGGAAAGCTTAGGGTTAAGAAGGAATTCTGTGAGGAGCAGTAATGCACCATGAGTACAAGAAGAAAAGCATTAGTGCAAGCCACTTGACTTGAGAGCAGGAGCCTTAAAATTGACTTAATGCTCAGCCTTTCAAGAAGCTGGCAGTTGTTCAGGTAATCATTTCAGGTAACATGGCAGAGTTCTACTGGCCAAAAGGCTGTAAATGATTAAATGCACTGCAGTATGTCCTGTATCAAATATTTAAGTCATTCTCCCAAAGTCACAGCATGTGTACTGTGGGTTGCCAATTAATTATGTTATGCTTGTCTATGTGTTTGTAGTATTCCAGATGAGTAATAAGAGCATAACACTGATCCTCTATAAAGCCATGTTCAGATATATCAGCCTGGAAAATGGAAATTCTTATGGATAAGGTTGCAGATCTGCCAGACTGCATGCACTAATTCCTCCTTTAATAAAATCAATTATGTTCAACCAGTACACATCTGAGTATGATGTTTACTAGTCTGGACTTAGCAGTAAGGTGTATAAATTCAGCTGTGAAAACTAAGCTATTGCATTCAAGCATCCTAATTTGTAACATTCTATTGGAAAAGCAGTTTTTTTCAGGGCAGGTCTCCTAAATACAAGTAAAATACGGAAAAAATAGATCTAGAACTGAGAGAAAAACAAAAGGTTTCTACAGAATAAAGAAAAAGAGAAAACAAAACGTCTGTTCAAGTCTGTCAAACCGAGATAGAGACATCAGTGAAGAAGTGTTCTGACTCTATATACCAAAGAAGGAAATTAGCAATGGGATGTATAGATCACAATACCTCTGTGGTGTGGAAAAATACAGCTGAAAGGGAGACAGCAGGAGATTTTATCTTCTATGGGAAAGAGATGCTAAGACACAGAAACACCTTTGCAGATGGGACACTCTGAGCAAAAACCATACTCGGTACATGTAGACAGTGTAAATCAATCAGTCGAACACAAAAACTAATGCAACATTATGTCTGACAGTAAGGAGGCTGAAAAAGCAAATTGAGAAAAGATTACTCACTGTAGCCCATTCCCTGAACAAAGTACTTGAAGGCCTCTGCTAGCTTGCCAGGCTGCAAGAAGAAGATGGTCATTATTGAAAAGTGTAAAATCATTATCCTAATAATCCCCACCTATGAACTGGCTTCATTACTCTGTTCTCCTCTCCACTAATAGCTGATGTGTGGTGAGTGTTCTGGCGCACTATGGCTGCCGTCGCATCATCCAGGTTGGGCTGCACATTGGTGGTGGTGGAGGGGAGTCCCCATTACCTGTAAAGCACTTTGAGTGGAGTGTCCAGAAAAGCGCTATATAAGTGTAAGCTATTATTATTATTAATTATTATGATCTCCATGTCTACAAACATGAGGGATGGACATGGTTACTTGTCTGCTGTCTTTGAAAGTGGTGTCAGACCAGTAAGACAGACATACCAAGACACAACTACAATGACGGAAGACAGGCTTTGGAAGAGATGTTAAATTAATATCCAGGCCACTTGTGTTCATTAAAGACATCTTGGCACTACTCAAAAGAGCAGGTGAGCTAACACAGGTAGTGTCCCAATAAAATCCTGTTTTGCGATTTTTCACTGGTGAAGATCACACAGTGTAACATAATGCGCTATAGAAATAGCATTTACCTCAGCTGGAGGTAAGCATGCTTGTCTGAAGTCCTGACTGCACTGTCTCGCTGCAGTTTCTTCTATATGAATCTTGTCTTCTGAAAATAGTTACACATAATTCATCTACTTACTTGAACAACCTGAGGCAGCCCTCCACAGTCTGCCATCTGAAAAACAAGATAAAATACACCAATAAATACACACCACGTTGGCTGGGCCATAAAAATATCACTATGAGCTAATTTTGGTTCGACATTTACTGAAACATAGTTATTCAAAGCTGCATGTGAATCTTTGAATAATTTGTCCTAGAAAGGGTAGACTGTACAAACTGTTCTGAACAGATAAGACTGTTCTTTTCAAACACTTAACATCTTTGCCAAAACAGACGAAAATAAGGAAATAAGGACTTTTTTTTAGCAAAATCTATCACTATCAGCTTTTCCATATGGCAGTCACAATGTTTGCTGAACATCACCAAACTTTCTCTACAATAGTGACATCTCACCTTCAACAATGTTGTTTTTGTAGGATTTAATCTGGAATTGCACTCAACCTGCAATTGAAAACATAATATCACAATACATTTCAGTTTAAGCATTCTTGAAATGATAAGGTTATTAATCTCACCTGTAACACTGTAAGTCGTTTTTTAAATACATTTTAAAATACACAACATAAAATCCACCCAGACAACACTCCAGGTTCTAGCTTAACAAAAGTAAAATTGAGTTCATATGTGTTGTTCTGGAACTTTTTCAGAAACTGTTACAGGTCTTCATCAAAACACAGGCGTGGTTATCTACTGCTGATGATAAGGCTAGAAAAGCAGAAAACAGCATTTTCTGTTATATTAAATCACTCTTCTGAGTGCTTAAGTTTATTTGAGGACTATAAGGAGTAAGATACTGTAAATGAGAGTTACAATTCTGAATTTATCAGTAATGACACCACCAAAAACATACAACAAAATAAACTCACCACGGCCTCTACTGCTGGTGAGGTGTCACCAACAACCAGCAAGGCAGGGCACCTGGTGTGGAAAAGAGGGAAAGACTATATTCCCTGCTGGTCAAAACCTTCGGAACAGCCCTCCAAATAATGCGTTGGGTCTTTAAAGCAGGGAGAGCTTCACTGGGACATGGCTTGAACTCCTCAACATTTGAAAATATCTACAGCCCCATCCCATCCCATTCTTCTGGCTGGTTCTCCCTCATTTGAGGTTGTGATCGGGACACTGTTGTGATTGAAACGGCACACTCCTCCAGTTCCCACAGTTTTCAATGGCACTGAGATCCGGAGATTGTCAAGGCCCGGCCAGTTCTGTTTCCGGCCCAGCCAGCCACAAGAGTGAGTCAGCTCATTTTACTGAGGGTTACGAACATTTGTGAGCAGCGAATGTAGATTTCTGAAGATACTATACTAAAGAATACAAACACATCTTAACCCAAGAACCTAAGGGGGACCCAAACCACATATCACAAGTGAACCTCAATGAACACGGATTGAACGTTCCAATTGTTTTTTGTCATACTCTGACTTCGTCAAGCTCATAGAATAAAACAGGTGATACAAAAAAGTATTGAAGTTACTAGTTGCTTCAGTTTCTAAAAAAAAACTTCAGGGAACAGAACTTGAGGAAGTGATTAATGAGTAATTTAGGCATTTACAAAAGGTGAATTCCTCCAAAGTTCTGATCCAGACAGTGTGGTAAAACAATAGAAATGGTCATCAGTGTGGACAGCACTCGCCAACTCCAAACTAAAAATGAAAGTGTTACCAGGATGGTGTTAAAGGAGTGTTTGAACTGCTCCCTTGAAAAGAAACATATTTCTACACTAAGACATCTGTAGTTTTATTGTCAGGATTTCTTACTGAGCGTTGACAAGATTTAGGGCCAGTGCAATGCTAAAAAGAAACCCCGAAAGAACAAGGAGAGGAGCTTGACCTCGAGATAAATGTCAATATCAGTTTAAAGGGTCTGGCGGCACGACCAAATGTCAGGTTGAGAGGAGATGGCAATCTCCTATCACAGTAACCTTTGCTATGTTCTGGACTACCTTAACAGTCACACTCATACTCACTTGAGCGTGCTCACTGTGTCTTCATTCAGGCCGGGGATAGGTCTCTCAATCTCAAGATCATGACGGCTTCAAACAAATAAAACAAAAGTTCAACTCGGTATAAAATCTTTCGCATTCAGACCTTGCAGAATGACAGCAGTTTTTCCAAATCTCAAGACCCCCATTCACGCCCAGCTGTTTCCAAGCAGGCTGACCCCATGTGGGCTTCTGTCAGCCTTCTTGTTTCCACAACGAGGTCAGACTGTAGGATGATGCGTGTCACGTGTCTCAGAACCACACTACTTTATAGCAAGCCTCTGTGTCAGGCACAGATTTGTGGTTTGAAATGTCGCAAGCAAGCAAGCCACACAATTGAACCCCCATGCCCCTAGCTACTCTATTGCATATTTTCCAGAACCCTTACAGAACACCATGAACTTTTACATCACTGCGTTCAACAAGAAGCACCTACAGTGCAACATGTACAATGCTTGCTATCAGGTACTATGTGTGTCATTCTGCCTATGGGTTTCAATATAAACATACAGACACCTGTCACATTTTCTTTCTATTTTGTTAATTTTCATAAAAGTGTATATAAAGACCAGAACACTTTGAATGCACTGTATTCTATAGAAATGGACTTAATCACTTAGTGTATCAAAAATGATAAGCTCTAACAGGCTGAATTCTATTTTCTCATCACAAGATTTCCTCATCTTGTTATTTAAAGTCGCATCTCTCAGTGCCACAGATTTAACATTTTCTCCATTAGATGTCCACAGTCAGGATCACTTTCATCTTCAATCAACTGCTCCAGGCTTGATTTACAAAGTTTGTATATCTTATTTGTTTTATGCAAAGATGCATAAAGACTGGACTGGTTCTGTACTGTCAATAGTGTCACTTCATGGAAAAACACAGAATTCTGGGTGCTGAAGCTAACAGTGGCTCACCATCATTGGGTGAAGGGAAGACAGAGGGCTGATGGGTGATTGAGTCCATCAGAGGGCTGATGGGAAGGAGGCTGTGCAGTTTATACAGTACCTGTTGTAAGAGGTGAAGAAAAGATTCAGGTTGTCCTGATTGATGTCCTGTGCAATGTGAAGGCGATACGTCTGGATCAGCTCCTGATTATCCTGAAGCTCCTCCTGTGAGGACACATAAGGAAAACCTTATTGGGAACCCAGACACTGTGGGTATGGTATTACTTTAAAAAAAAAGACTGAAACAGAACCCTTTGCCTGTTGAAACAAACGCCTCACCTCTACCTACATCTGGATAACTTACAATGTTGTAGCATGTCTGAAGTGAAATGCTGGCTTTAGGCTTCATTCACATGCTGCTAGATACAATATTTACTGAGACCAATCAGATTAAGCCAGATGAATCAGATATGATGTGTGGGTGCCATTTGCACTTTATCAGAAGAGATTAGCTGAGTATTGTAAACAGATATCCAATAATGAAGCAATCTGTGCAGCAGGTAAACAACTCAAGACTCACATGACTGAAGTGATGAGCCATCACAATGTCCACTAAATTGCTTGTCCATCCAGTGAGCTAGAAAAGAAGTCAAGACGTTACATTATCTGTTTTCAATTGCGCTAGCAAGGGTAAGCTAACTGCACTGCAGAAGAACATTTGTTTTGCATAAACAGCAAGGAATTTCAGCAGCCACCTCTATAACTTTTCCATAATTGCGATAGAATTGTAGGAGCAAACCTCATGCATTCAAATCATATTACAACATTAATCATTCTTCTTAAAATCCCTCTCAGAACAATATTATAGCACACTTCACCTTTTCTTCTCAAAGAGACAGGTGGACAAGTGACAAGGTGGACAAGCTTCTTGAACATTGAAGACTTGGTTGATTGTAAACAAACCACAGATTATCCATAAAAAATAGTAAATAACACCAAATCTGCAGCTCCAGCAGTGCAGTGAGACTGGATTAACTCCTCACATAGTCTATGCCTTGGGTAAGTAGATTACCCGAGTACACTACTGCACATGATCAGGCTGGAGGATAGGGCTCCCAGCGCTATTTATAAATATATATTAAACAGGAATACTTACATTTCATCCATGCAATATAAATATTTACCTTTGAAGCTGCCCAGTCGATCCAACCTTTTGCACAAGGATCGATATTGATGAGCACCAATCCCTCCACCAGGTTGGGCTGGTTGAGCTGCAGACCACAAGAAACACATGACTTAGGGAGCAGACCTGACAACAGAACTGACTGGGGAATCTGCACACTCGCCAGGAGCCAAGAGGCTTTTAGTGCTCTGCTCACTCGAGCATTCTCGGTATTAGAATCACTCCAGCATTCTAATGCTGGTCTCTTTCCTACATTAATGTTTCAGCAGCCCGAGACATCTTGTCAAGCCTGCAGAAAACTGGTGACACAGCAAAAGGGACCACAAGACTCTAAATATAGAACAGTGCAGGTCAGTCAGTTTCCGAAAACATGTGTGACATCAATCTAAAAAAATAGTGAGGCCAGAGGTAAAGCCTCAGAACACAATCTATCGTAAATCCTATTACCTTTTTATAGAGGGATTAGAATGAGCTGGAAACATGGTGCAGAGTATGGCAGTAAACCCATGCAGGGATAAGACAGTGTGGGAGGGGTCATTACCTCCTTATATCATGGGATATGGGGATTCTACCCTCCATACGGGTACTGCATGTGATGTCTAAGTCATTTTAGGCCATGCATTAGAAATACATTTGCATAGAAAAAAAAGTGACACCTCTACCTGTATTTAAATTGGTCTACTGCATTTACTTAAACCCAGTTAAAGATCAAGGTTTTCGTCAACAAGAGACCCTTCCATTCGATCCAAAAGTTTAAAGAGGGATAAGACTTTTATAGACATCAACCATGAAAGATACAACCTTGATATATAATAATCAAGTATGTGCAGATTTAAAATGACACATTTAACAACTGATTAAAGTCATGTACAGTGATAACGGGTTACTGACCTATCCTGATTCCTCAATTTGAACAAGAAAACGTGCTAACACAAAAAATGTGAATTGAATTTGTGAAGTGTTTTGGTCTCTATAAGAAAGGTAAACATCTGGATGAATTCACAAGATGCATCCTGTGGTCCACTCGAGCCAACTAGGCAGTCAAACTCAAGTGAGAAATCCCACTGAACCTACCGCCAGTGTGGTCAGAATGTAGGCCCCAGCTCCCACGCCAATCCCCATAATGCTGCTTATTCTGTTTAAATAAAGCACAGCAAAACAGCAAACAAAAAGGTTAGAAAGACCAGATCCCCGTTTTGAAGATGAAATGTCATCTTTTAGTTCCTGTCAATACAATTCTTTAAATGGCTTAAATTGTTTTTAGCATAAAGTAATAATGAATAATCATGAATATAATCATGAATAACGTTCCATAAAGATCACGCCAGGCATTTCCATGTCTGTCTAGACTTCTAGGAAACAAATCAATAGGCAGACTCTGCTGTGCACTGCACGTGGAACTTACTTCAGGTGTGTTAAAACAGAAGGGAGCATCTCGGCAAGCTCCTCCATGCTGGGGTACTGGTACCTGTGAGGACATGTGGAATTTACACTACAGCAATTGTAACATTCCAAAACGTGCAAAGAAATAATGAGGACTAGCAACGAGAAACTGCATGTGATCCTCCCAGCCTTTAAAAAACAGCCTGAGCTGTTTTTCTTTAAAAGCTGAAAAGGCTGAACAGTCACCTATAAGGAAAGACCCAGATCTCTACAACCACAGTGTTCTTCAATTTAACAAGAACCGAGAAATTTAGTGCTCAAGCATTTTTGCATGAAACCGGTGATACTCCTGTCCCACTGGGCTTGGATCCATTTCAGGTTTACGAGCTACAGCTTCTTGTAAAGGCTAAGAGATGCTTAGGGCATTTCTGATCCATTTCCATAAGTCAAGTCAAAAGTATTTCCTTTCTGCTATATTACTACAATTTGGTTAAAAGGTTGGCTTTGCTTGTAAAACCTATGAAGGGCAGTAAGAGTGCTTTCAACCCCAACATATGGTCTTGTACTATGCTGATGTGAGAAGGAAAGTTTCTACCTCTAAGGCCTACGTTATAACAGTGAGTGAGACCTGGGGTCTGGGGGTCACCAGTGTGTCATTGACTGAGCTGTCGCAGGCTATATGAAGGACATGTTATTAACTACCTCGGGAACAGGGGATCAGCAATAAGAGCTCTTCGGAATGAACAAAGAATACAATTGCACTATTATATGTACTATCCAGCTAGCTTATGTTATGGTATGAAGGGCCCTCTTTTCCGTACTTGCATGCATGCAGGAGACGAACATATTAGCAAACAAGGCGGTGTTATGTGATGAAGAATACTATATTTCACAAAAAACATTTTTTCAAACAAGTTTATGAACATAAACTAATATGCATACACACATACCAAAATACACGTACACATAGATTAAAAACTACCCCCTGTTGTAGATCGAGATCTTTTGAGATTGTTAAGTCATATCAATATAGATTTTATTAAATTAAATTTAAAAAATCAAGTCATATTTGTTCAGATAAAAGATATTTATATGATCCATGTCTCAAATGATCACTTCTGCTGTGAGCAGTAATGTTTGAAGAAATCCATTACTGCCTTTCAAAAATGACAAGGCAAACATCTGGAAGAAAAGAACATCCTGACATGGAAGTTTATACAAACCTCCCCAGAACACGGCCCTAAATCTTAATGGCGTTAGGAACAGTGGAAGGTGACTTCCAGGCAGGCAAACTCTTAGTTTGCTTCTTAGACTGGATCGGCCCAGGTTCTTACCCAGCAGGGAATGGGGGGGCATTCTCTTGCTGCCCAGGTGCGTCCACATGGACAACTGCGAAGTGCTGTGTGATCTCCTGCATGTCTTCGAAGTTGAAGAGTGTGTTGAAGCAGGACTTATCTGAGCGGGACAACAGAAAGATGCACGCATGGGCATGAGTCTCCTACCTGCCCATCTCGTATAAATAACACTCTATTCGTTAGGCAACGGAACGCTGAAGCTGTGGCGAACTTCTCTTCAGAGCTACCTAACCAACAGAAACATGCCAGGGAGCCTCCTGGAGAATTTTAAATGTTGAAGCTGACGGCATGAGACATGCAGACACAGCCTGGCCATTGCATTTTAATACAATTCAGTTCGTTCCTGCTAACCTCATCGCCAATGCTGAAAGGCCACTCAGGAAGAAACAGGTGGACATGATGTAATGTGTATTCTGGCCTAATGGCCTAAATCTCTGCACCTGGAGTGCTGCCCAGGCCAAGGCAATCTCACATTTCTTTAATGTGCTTTCTTTTTCCAAGACAATGTACCCTGTAAAAATATACTATAGCACAGTACTTTAGTGGCTTCTTAGCACTACAGTATTGTAGGGTTGTAGGCACTCAAAACATTAAAATTACCATTAACCACACTGACTACTTGTTAGTGGGTTCAGGAAAGGTATTTAAAATGAACTGGCAGATAATTATGATTATAACTGGCCACAGCCATAGTTATAGTAAACTGTTAAAAACACAAAAGCAATATAAAGCTGAAGTGCTGCAATATGTTAACAATTTTTTTTATTTACCAGCAAATTTAGATCTGTTTTTGGTCAAAATCGAATATACTGACGCCAGTTATTATTACCCCACACAACGTCACTCTATTCTGAATCTCCCTTAAAGAAAAGACATTGAGGATTTCTAGAATACAGCCAAAGGACAGTCCTTGGAGATCTGGAACCTGACACATGCCATCATGAAATCTAAACAGCAGATGTTGCCTTTGCCTTTCTCTTCCTGAGAAAGCTCACAAGAAGCCGTACCCACAGGGAGTACTCACGGTTCAGGCCGATATCGTGATAAGTGAGGATGACCGGTCTGTTGCCCTTGGGGGTTCCGCGCATGGTGACGTGGAGGACGCCATGCGGAGTCTCGATGTCATGCTCCTGGAGACGACGAGAAACAAGTGCTGCTTCAGTCAGGGCCGGGTGACCAGCAGTCGCAAGCAGGCCGCTTAACTTACGACGCACTCTGGCTCCTCCACAACTGAGTGATCCACAAATTGTGCCCAAAAGAGAGAGGCAGTGGGGAACATGCGGTTCTGTTTTTCCACCAAAGAAATTTCATTTCAGATTCCCCAGAGGCTTATCCTTCGTTAATAAATACAGGACATATAGGATGCGATCAAAGGTCGTATTCAACAGCTCCAGGATATACCAAGGTTCCATTTTTATTGTAAGAAATGCCTGCAATTGGGGTGTACAATTTTATCGTATGGATTTTGTTCATTGAAATATGTACCACTGCAAGAATGTCATTTTCAAAACTTCTTTTGGTATTTCAAACATAGTAGGGTATAGTAAATATTTTAAATCGCTAACATTATACACATCAAAACATCCTTGCAAACTTTCTATACAGTACATTTATTGTAATGTAATGACAATCAAGAAAGCAGGTTAAGGGACAAAATACTGGGAAGCACAACCACTTCAGTTTTTTTAAATAGATAAAAGGATATCTGCATCACTATGTCCTTGTGCAATTGCAAATGTGGTCATTTTCAGAATGATAAGATCATGTGATGCAAGGGGCTCAAAAAGCAGAATTGTTTCCACAGCAAATTGATGCACTTGCGGTCATACTGAGATGCATGTGCCCATTGTCTGAGATCACTAGGTCTTCCTGATCAGATCACAAAATCTCTGTTTAGGTCAGAAGTGAAAAAGGTCCCATTTCTGACTCTGTGATGTCTTCAAAAGAAAGCCCAGCGCAAATTGAGGACATGGAACTGTGTCACAGCTGTAATGCTGTTTACTAGATAATGGCCAGTGACGTCTGCCTGTAATCAAATTATCTTTGTACGGAAATATCCTTGCTGTGCATCCCTTGGGGCCTATTTTAGCAAAACTATGAAGCACGGAATGACTTGCAGTTGCCTCTACAATCTAATGAAATGTACGAACTCGGGTATCCAGATGAGCCTACATGTGCAAGCAAACAAAACGAATTAATCCATATCTGTCAGCAGCCTTCTTCCTTAGTTTGCATCATAAACCACGGATAGGACTGCAGTAAAATATATTAGATGTGTCATAGACCCATTGACTGGGTCATCTGTATTAACAGCATCCAACAGGCATTCTGTTCCTCCAAGAGAGCAAAAATCAGTATATAAGCGAAGCTATCAAATTACCTCAGTTTAGATCACTACAGATTTTTATTACAACATTAGTCAAATAAACAAAGATTTGCACAAGCTTTGATCTCACTAACTTTTGAAAAAAACTAGTTTCTTTAAAAGGGGTGAGATCTTGGAAGCCAGCTGAAAATCAACAATGGAGAGTGCCAGCCTTAGTCATCTTTCCATCAGACCCTGGACTAGGCTTCAACAAATGAAGTCATCGATCTTCTGCTCCCCTCAGCAACATGTGAACACAGCCAATGTTTGTGAGAGCATGGAACAGTCACTCAATCAAATATTTGAACAGGTTTTTGATGCCTCGGGTACATTTACAGATTCATTATGAAAGGTGTCACTGCAGGGTTTTGTTACTTCATATCCTGGAACATACGGTATTTCAATTTTAAGGGAAAAAAAACATTCTTTCCAAAACACTGTGCAATTTGACTATCACCTACTGTACATGTACTGAAAGACATGATGTTTAATCATTATTGAAACGGAGAGCATTCCACGCTTATTTGTAAAGTAAATATTGCTTTAGCCAGAATTATAGATAGAAATATGTGTAATGTCGGGAGTAGTCACAGTCCAGCAAGATAGTTTCTTTAAACCTAGAACCTGAAGCGAGACATTTGAAGCAATGCTATTTGCTGTTCAGTGCATTATTTCTACCATGCCCAATAAGCATAGAGCTAGAAGGAAAACATTCTATTTTGCTTATTGTTTGCCCAATAATATCTGCCTTGATGATTATATAACAAAGAACAAACTGGCAAGACTTGACTACAGTAGGATTTAATCGGGGGGATTAGTGTTTTATTGAAGCACAAAATCTGGGAACTAATCTGGTGTCAATTTTATCTAGTGAATTTGCATGAAAACAACAAAAAAAGCACTAAAACAAAGTGTCGAGTAAGAACAAAAAAAACTATCTTTCTGACAGATTCTCAAGAAACTTGGTGGCTTTGCAAAGGCATGACCAAGTTAGCAGCTGTGGGATTAGCATTTTGAAAACTACGTTTAAGAGGAGTAAATATAGAACAGAGAATTGAACATGGGGGAGGCCTGGTTAAGCACCTTGTCTTTGAGCCCAGGGACTGTAGTAACTGAACACCCACACCTGGGACTCCCCACCTGGGGAAAGACCTTCCACATCAGAGATACGGCTCCTTGTTGCTCGTTTTCTTCAGGGTTTTCGAAAAGGGTTGTGCTTAACCGCACTCTCAGTATGAAAAATGTTATAAACAGGTTTGGGAGCTACCCCGTTGTATCTACCGCAATTGCTGCAAAAATCGTCTTGTTTGCACGGGGAAGCTGCCCCTATATACCGTGATCGGCCGCAGACTTGCTGCAACTGTCTGCCTTGCAAATATAATATAAACAAAGAAGGGAGCGAAAAATGAAAACCCAAACCTGACTCAGAAAACAAACTGAGATTACTGCTTGAGAAAGCCCCTAAGCCACCTTCTACACAACTAAGCAATTTGGAAATTTAGAAGATTCACTGAATAAAGCCATTTTTGTCCAGTCTGACCCATCTTGAAAGAAAACAGCTCTCTCTCTTTCTGCATTATCATGCAATCTTTCCACACAGATGTCGATACTGAAAGAAAGGATGCAAGGAAATGGCACCTCATAAAAATGGAAATTTAAGCCTCAGGTAAATTTGCAATAAAAATAACTGGGAAGAGCAAGATTCTTCTTCACAGAAGTGAAGACAGACTGGCAATGCCTCGAGTAGCTCTGCCATGACATTAGTTCTAAAAGGACAATACACAGTGCAGAAAAGACACTTCTAGAAAGACATCAGTGGGCGGCAACAGAGGTCTAGGTGATGAGCTTTAATGGGATACCACTTTCCCCACTCTCCTCATCGCTCCGATTCCAGTCATAGCAAACGAAGGGAAAGTCCCCTCTCGCCTCAACAAAAGTACGCTTTTTTGGAAAAGGGCACAAAAAGTAGTAGTCAAAGTAAAACTTGAAAAAGAGCCTGATTAATGTAGGGTAACTGAATTCTACTTTATAATCTGGAAACAAGGAAATGCGATTTTTGATTTCCATGTTCTGAGACAGAGCGTGGAGGGTTAAGGATGCTCAATAGCAGAACTGCACTTGTTAAATAAAATAGGATGAAAACATCAACTGACTGAGATTTCATAGTCTTCAGTGATACCATGTGTCCGCATGAGGGACAGCATTCATTAATACTCATTCAGATGAAACAGAAGGGACATCGCCTAGCAGAATAAGAGACTGTGGTGCATTGTTATGACAAGTCTGATTTTATACTAAGAATTCCTCCACATATACCTGTAAATGTATTCCTAAGAGCACTGCAAAATACCATCTTACTCGTGTGCAGGATCGGGATGAAGTTAGAACAGCTAATAGCCTTCAATGAAACAGCAGTTTTTGGTGCACATCTGCAACAAAGAGATGCATTACTGTCTGTGCAGGGATTCCAGACTAATGGAGAACAGAGGATAATAAATCCCAATATCATGGATAAAACGTGAATAAAAATAGCAGTAGTAATAACGACAAACAAAGTGGGTTGTTTTTTTAGGTTTTTGTTATGAGCATTGACACATACAGGATTCTGCAAAATTTTCTGGGTGATAATTAAAATTGTTCACTCCTTTTATTATAGCACGTCTGCTAAACCCTGGGCATACATCACCATTTGAAAAAAAAAATAATTCTGCAGTAGCAAACAATACTGCTGTGCTTTTCCGATGCAGTGCTAAATACTGTATGAGCACTGTACGAGGAGATGCAAAAACGCGTTTCACTGTTGCAATTGGGAGAAAAGCTTAAAGTGGATTCTGTGCTAGCCCATCCCTTTTCCTCAGGGCTACACAATCTGTGAGCTATAACTTCTCATTTACATCACTCTGGTGGGGAAGAAAAGTAACAAATCTGCTCTTTTCAACACACAACCCTTCTCTTTCGTGTGTGGCTACTCTTGACGGGCCCAGAGACAGAACAGTGGGAAGATAAGAGCCGTAGCACCTGCACATTGCCCACTGCCAGCGTCCACACACAACCACAGCCCACTGCTTTACAAAAGCAGCCACCCTGTAATTACAGTAACACACTGCAAATGAACGACAATTTAGAAAGGCAAAGCAATCGTGTCCGATTCGCACTCCTGCTCACTCACCACTCCAACTACTGCGCACGCGATGTGGTTCAGATCCAGCTCGGCAGTCATCTTTCTCTTGAGGCGGGGCGGGAGAGAAAGCACTGAGAGCACTGCCAGCCGAAAAGGAGAAACAGTGTTTCCAAGCAGCCTGACCCTCCAGAAGATGGGAGGAGAGTGCGATAGAGCAGAGCGAGGAAGCGAGAGAGCGAGAGAGGGAGGTGCGCAGAGGGAATGACTGCAGTTCTCGCTTGGTAAGCATAAAGTGTCCGGAGCTGTCTGGGCTGTGTGTGGCTGGTAATTGGATTTAGGAAGGTCAGGTGGGGTGGAGTGCCAAAGAAGCATGGAAAACACCCTATATCCAGCACAGTGGCACTGCAGGAAAAACGTTTTTTACATGCTTGCTTTAAACAGATCAATAACACCTTTCTGGGCTCACTGTAAACTGATGTGCTCTACCAACAGATTCCACATTCCAAACTTTCACTTCTAACAAAGGGGAATGAGAATAGTTCTATGCTTCAATTAAATTATGATGTCATGCAGTTGGGACTTTTTAGGGGGCAGTGGTCATCTGAAAACTGCTTGAAGCAACAACACTGACTCTAATCCAAACA